TTATTGTGGAATTATTTGAGATTAATTCATAACATAGTCCTCTAAATGACAATAAAGAGCTGTGAGTAGTGTTAGATAATTCGCATCATTCACCTACATTTGCATCCATACATTCCAGGCTAAATGCTTATCATGCATTACTTATTAAATTGTTATTTTGTGTTGCATTATTGTTATTATTGGAAATGATTTGATTAATTGTGATGTGCTTTATATTACTTTGCTTGTGTGGAGTTGGAATGAAGTGGGTCACCATGGGTTTGTGAGGGCAGTCTGCGATACCGTCGGCCATGGATGGGGATGATATGATATGGATGATATGAAAAACCACAGGGTGGCCTCCTATTGGTATGGAAAAGAAACGAGAGAATGGAAAAACAATGAAAGGGTTGGCCAAGTGAGGATTAGACCGGTCAGCCATATATGGGGGATCGGTTCCCTAGTGCAAACGTTGGAGAGGATGGGGGAGGACGGCTCATCAGGGTTTTCGGTGACGCCACTGACTAATTTGCACGTGATGTGATTATATGAAGATGATAATAATTGTTATTGCTGTTATATTGCCATTTGTGTGACAAACTGTATAATCATATAACTAGTCGGAGGACTAAATTGATTTATTATAGGGTATGTGTGATTGTGTGGGGTGAGAGGGTTGTCTAACCCTACTCATTGAGCTTGGCGCTCAACCCTGCCTCCTATTTTTTTTTTTTTTTCAAAGTAGTTTCTCTTTAATTCGGGTTAAACTATGTTATCTTCGTCGCAGGATTATTAAGAAGTTTTCCCAGTTCCATAATTGTTTTGCTATGTAATTATATGTACAAGAAGCTATGTATAACAAACAGTTAGTGACTCCGCAGTTGTAGAATTTACATACGTCTAGTCGTGTAGTAATATAGATGAAGTAATTCTGTTAGCCCAAGATGAAGTAATTCTGTTAGCCCATATTAAAAATGTGCTTATATTGTAAATGGGGCTAAAACGGAACTGTTGAAATGTAGAAGATAAACTTTGGGGCCTGAGAAAATAATTCAAATATTTGAAGTTATTTGTTTTTATTTAATTAGACGAGGATAATAACTTCTTAATGTTTCAGGCTTACTACGGGCCTCGGGGGCCTTAAGCTTACCTGGGCCCTAGTTGCCGGTCCGGCCCATGGAATCGCGGTCGTGACAGGTATTATTATTGAACTTCAGGCTTACTACGGGCCTCGGGGGCCTTAAGCTTACCTGGGCCCTAGTGCCGGTCCGGCCCATGGAATCGGGTCGTGACAGTATTATTATTGAACTATTCCAAAAAACGAGCAGCTATCTCTTAAACCATATTTATGATAGGTATGTGTACGGTCAAGATTATTAATAAAATTAATTATGCTTGAATAATATCTACGAGTTGTATAACATAATTTATTTTTAAATTAAAATATTATATATATGTATATTTTTAATTAGAATCTTCGGCAATGGCTTATTTATTTTTTAATAAACATATAACCATATTAATGTTTTTTTGAGGGTTATAATAATATTAATTTGATTTTTCTAAACAATATTTTTATAAATATTATTATATTTTGACAACCAAATGTCATAAAAATAAAATTACATATTAGCCAATTTAATTTTTCTTATAACAATTTAAATTTAATTAACTTAATTTTTTTATATTATAAAATATCATAAATCATCTATGAGAAACCAAAAATAATTTTTATTATTATATTAGTTTTAAAAAAACTAAAAATAATTTTTTTTAGGAGAAAAAAAAAAAGCAAATCAGGACTTTTGACTCTCAGTTTACAAATAGAGGTATGTCTCACGCAAAGGCATAAAGTCCTGAAACATAAACAGTTGACAGGAAACAGCCTTTGTATCTCTAGTGAGAAATGGCCACTTCCTTCCCCCTCTATTACTCTACAAACTTCCCTGAAAGAAAGGTATCCCCAACTGTGGATTCAGCAATCTCCAGCATTTGTAAATGTTTGCAAGAGATCATCTTATCTTGTTCAAATTCTGCACCTGAGAAGTATGACTGATGAACTTATGCCTTGTATAAAGATTTTCCCTTATTTGGTTGTCTTCACCTTGAAGCCTTCAATCGAGTTGCTCGAGCGAGAACTTTGGTTCCTTCGGTGCCTTTCTACTACCTACTTTGGAATTTCCAACAATGGAGTTATTTAACTTCTTAATAATCCTTTCAACCATGCCTCTTTCATATGGACATTTTTGAAATGGTACCACCCTCAAACAAGGTGGAGGAATGAGCTACTAACAGTAATACCATACAAAAAAAAAGGCTAAATTGCGACGAAAAACTGCGATTGACGACCATCGGTAGCAAAATTGCAACGAATTTACGATTGGGTGCGACGACAATATAAGTCGTAGAAATCTAATAATTGAGAACACTGCGACGGAATTAGCAACATAATGGCGACTGCAAGTGTGTCCATCTCAAAATATTGCTCTATTAATTTCCGCGAGTTTTGTTATTTGTTTGTGACCGATCAGCGACCAATCTGCTACCAACTTTACGATGCATTTGCAAACAATTTCTTGTCTGTCACTACATTTTGCGCTACACAATACCACAAATTTTATTGATAGATGGCAACCGATTGGTATTGGTCGCAATTTGGACACTTATGAAACGATATCTATTTAATAATTATAGCGACCAAATTAATGCAAATTGCGATCGATCAGTTGGTCGCAAAATTTTAAGGCTTTATAAGCCCTTTGGTTGCCTTGGTAGCAATACAGCCCCTTTTTCCTTCCCTTTTCTTGTTTCTTTTCTCCCTCTTCTGTCTGTGTTGCCAGTTGCTGTGAGATCACCGGAGCTACATCGCTGTTGTTCTCACAGGAGAAGACCACCGCCGTCCGCAAGTAGGTTCCTGAACTTTTATCTATTAATTTATTTTGTGGGACTTTTAACTTATTTGATTTTGTTTGTGTATTTTATTGGGCAGTGATATATTTTTTGTTGGAACAATGCAAGTGAATATTTTAATTTGTTTGTTGTTTCTATGTATTTTTTATGTATTTTTTTTCAATTATTTCTTATTATGCTATAGTAATTATTTTTGTTGATGAGTCAGCACTATATTTAAACACTGCATGAGGCGAAAAGAAGAGGAAGGTGTATGACATCAGCTCTCAGGCATTACAATTCTACTGCGGCTCAGCGTTTGACGCTGCTAGAGCTTCCTCACGACCACAGCCCGACCACTGAGGAGATTAGTGCATTGCGGGCTCGTGTTGATGCGTAGGAAAGACAGCTTGAGAGAGCTTACAACGCATATATTGCAAATGTCTAGCCTGCATAGTGCTAGTACTTCCTTTGATACTTCACCTGCTATAGATTCACCAGTTTCTACTCCTTCGCATCAGCCGATATCTTCTCGTCTTCCTTTAAATATTGCAGTCGATACCTTAGTCACTCCTGCAAATACTACAATAGATCCAACAGACACTATACCAGATCATAGATTTGACTTTGGACTATTTATTGTAGGTATATTTAGTTTTTTCATATTCTGTATAGTATATTACATTTATAGTGCTTTTTTTTGATTGACTATCATTGATGATGATGAAATTATTTTAAATTAAGCCTCGGCATAATACTTGATTGATAATGTTTCAAATAGACTTGTCATGTGTGTGTGGGTGTGCCTGCGCGTGCATGGGTGTGTGTGGGTGTGTGTGTGTGGAACTTGCATTGTGAACACATTTGTTGTGCTTAATGAATATTATTTAGTGTCACATGTTTACTACAGGTTTCGATAGCCTTAAACCTACTCAGATTTCAGTGCTGATGGTGACATTCACATTTACAAACAAAATCATAACTAAAAAAAATTTAAATTCGAATTTATCTATAAAAAAATTATTTGTAAAATCAGTTTGATAAAATTAAAGTTTGAATTTTTTGGTGCAATGTTTTAGAGAGATGTGTGAATTTGTGGAATAAATCACTTGAGCCTTTTATAAAATTTATTACTACTAAAAAATTGATCTTACAAATGATATTTTCAATGAAATTTATTTACATAAAGATAACACAGATCGTATGCTAATTTCATTTTGCCAAATTGTTTGTATCATATAGAAACTGGCTTCTATAATAAAATTAAATAATCTATATCATGGTTTAATTTATAAGATTTTATCAAAACGAGCTTTGTTGTTTTTTTTTTCCCCAATTCATATTAAGATTTACAAAAAAATAATAAGAGAATAAGAGACTACACATCTTCTGCAGGTAGTCTAATTTTCGTTTGTGTTCAGACTACACATCTTTTGTGTTCAGACTACCAAAAAAAAAAAAAATGCCACTGTTAGCTGAAACAATGCCAATAGTTGACATTAATGCAGATTTAGTTTCAAATAAATAAATGATGCATACAACAGACTCCAACTAGTCTGAGATAATAATTGAATAATTGAATAATTGAATAATAAAAATAATTCGCCTTTCAGGTGGGTACTTCAGTTTTTCCTCCAGGACAAAATAAAGCAGAAACATTTTGACAAGGTGTGAGCAGAATCCCTGTTATGGCAGAAATCAATTTTGCTAATGAATTTTCATTTGTACTAAACATAGCATAAGTTCCATTAGTGCTCAACGAAAATAGCATCATATGATATCCCAAACATAGGCTAAGTTTCGTTGTATTCTCAATTTTGTCTGTGCAGGGAAAAAGAGATAATTGTTGGAAGGCCAATCATATCCCTGGATGAAGTAGCTGTGGTAAATAATCTCGTAAGTGCTTCTTTGCCTTTTTATTTTTTCAAAGGAAAGAGAAATATTTCTCTGAATAACAATTTTGACAGCAAAACTAAAGGCTATATGTATATAAACAAAATACAGTTACAAGATGAAATAGCTAGAAGAAGCATCGCCGATCCAAGGGATGGGAAGGAATGTAAAGATGAATAATGATGGAGATATGCATTAGATGTCTCACAGAGAAGCCATATCTGATAGCTACATTCACATTTGCTAACAAAATCATAAATCAAAAGTGTATTACTAAACTTTATTCCCTTCAAATTAACTACGAGACAATAGCTATGTTGCTCCCTAAAATCTACTAATTACCTAACTAAAACTAATTTGAATTGGAAAAGAAATTACATCATCCCCAATCATGATAGTGTGCCCTCCTGATGGCAGAACACTATAAGCATTATAGTCTATGATCTGCAAACTTTTACAAATATTAAACTCAAAGCTAACCTTCTGACTACTTTTAGCGTTAACAAAAAGCCTCTTAAAGCCAATCACTTGCTTTATATTTGCCCCTACAATTCCTTCCGGAGGCTTCGAGTACACAATCATAACTTCGCTTCCATCTCTGGATCCCACATTTTTCACTTCAACATCAAACTGAAATATTTCCTTACAGGACAAATGATTAGTTCGGACCGATGGACATGGAGGCGTGGAGGTGTCTTCTTTGTAATTCAAATTATAGCAATGCTGGAACTTGTTTAGTTTTATATCGACTGATTTTCTTGGAGATGTTAACTTATAAGTGAAGTTAGTGTAGCTGAGTCCATACCCAAATGGGTAAACTGTAGAGCCATTAAAGAATTTGTAAGTTCGACCTGGATATCTTAATTCATCATTTGGCCTCAATTGTAGAGATGTCATTGGTAGTTGATTAACATAATCAGCTTCATGCCAAGTAAGTGGTAGTCTTCCTCCTGAAGAAACAAAAAATTACAGCAACTGAAATTTCTTTGTTACTACTTAATTAAAAACAATTAGTCAGTCAATTACCAGGATTGTATTTTCCAAAAACAACATCTGCAATGGCTCGACCACCTTCTTCTCCAGGGTATCCAGCCCACAAAATGGCTTTGATATTGTCATTGTTTTTAGCGAAAGTGATATCTATCCCTCCTGCTGACATGATTACGAGAATAACTGGACCTTTGCTGAACTACTTTTTAGCGTTACTAACAAAAAGGCGCCCTCTTAACAGCCAATCCACTTGCTGTTTTTCAGTGAATTTTTGCACTCTCCCTACAATTCCTTTCCGGAGGGCTTCGAGTACACCCGAAATCATAACCTTTCGCTTTCGCTATTTCTCATGAAGTGACGGAGATCCTCACCATTTTTTCACTTCAACATTTCATAACTGATAATATCTTTCTCTGTACGAGGGTTAGCAACCATTGGGATTAATTTCTCGTGGTAACCATTTTTTATGGGACATGGAAGGCCGAGCTTTCGCTGGATGGTGTCTGTCTTTGTAATTTCCAATGATGGGGGAATATAGCCAATTGCTCCGAACTTTGTTATATTAGTCTTCTAATATCGACTCTGATCATTAGGTGAGATGTTTAAACTTCTTTAGAAGTGAAGTTAGTGTAAGTGTGGTCCTGGATGAAACCTCTATTATTGCGTAAACTGTGTTAGGAGCCATAAAGAATTTTCGCAGAAGATATTACGGACCTGGATTTCGATATTTCTTACTTCATCATTTGGCCGTCAATTAGTTCCAGAGACTGTCCTCTTCTTTCGAGGCGTATTGATTTTGAGATTAATATAACAACAATAATATCTTCTAGCTTCATGCCCTCAGAGTCAATGTGGATAAGTTTCTTCTCTTCCCTGAAGAATCAGCCAAAAAATTACAGCAAACTGAAATTTCTTTGTTACTGACTTAATTAAAAACAATTAGTCAAGTTTCACTATTCCTCCACCGGATTGTCATATTTTTCCAATGATCATTTGATAACATACGAGTCTGCAATGGCTCGACCACCTTCTATCTTCCTTGCGCTATCTCCAGCCCGACAAAAATGGACCTTTTGGAGTATTATGTGTCTTATTGTCTTTTTAGCGAATATGCAGTGATATCTATCCCTCCTGCTGACGTGAGTGATTAACGTAGTCAATAAACTTACTGTGACCCTGACTTTGTTTGGCAAGCTCAGTTCGAGCAACAATTAGTCTTAGATTTAAGTTTTCCTGAATTTCTGGGTTCGACTAAAAGGTGTAGGAGGAGATCCCTTCTCCCGTATCGTTGGGGCTTTCGGATCTCCTCTTCTCCCAAACAGACAAGTCAATACCTGCTACTATTTATAGTAGCATCAGCTTCCTTTGTTTAGAATTGTTTCTCTAAGGTTGCGTGATTCCTTCCCGAAGCTTATCGCGAGTTGTGCATTCTCCTTACAAGCTCAGAACCAGTCGGCGATCCCAATTGCATGGCTTCACTGTATCAGCCCACAAAATGGCTTTGATATTGTCATTGTTTTTAGCGAAAGTGATATCTATCCCTCCTGCTGACATGATTACGAGAATAACTGGACCTTTGGCAGCATTCGCAACATTGTTGATAAGTTCAGTTTGGTAACCAGGGAGGAGGAGATCCTCCCGATCGTTGCTTTCGGCTTCAACAGACAAGTCAATACCTGCTACTATTATAGTAGCATCAGCTTCTTGTGCAACTTCCACTGCAGGGAGTACCGAGTTGTCATCCTTACAAGCAACATCGCATCCAATTGCATGGCTCACTTTTGCATATGTCGAAAACCCATCAATAGGAGAGATATATCGGCACGGAATTCCTGTAATCAAAATGTAATCAATATATATATATTTGTTAATTAGATTTGTAATACAACTGAATTTTATTTGTTTTTATATAGCTTCAAATAAAATTCAAATAAAAAACATGTACCTGCATAATTTCCAATCATAGCGTTGGTAGCATTAGCATGAGGACCAACCACAGCTAAGGTTTTTATCGTATCAGACTTCAAGGGCAAAGTATCATCCTTATTTTTGAGGAGGACAATTCCTTCCCTCGCTGCTTGTGCTGCTAATTCAATGTGTTGTTCGGAGCACACGTCTTTCAGGCCAAGAGATTGAAATTGAGGGCTTCCATCAAAGAACCCTAGTCTCAGAAGCACCACATAGAGATATTTAAGTGACCTGTCTATGTCTTCTTCCCTGACCTTTCCTTGCTTTACTGAGGATTCAGTGTTTTGGGTGTAGTATTTTCCACAATCCAAATCCAATCCTGCTTTAAGTGTTCTTGCAACTGCATCCTCCTTGGTGTCACCAAGAAATTTATGGCGTTCAACCATAACTTGGATGGAATCACAATCTGAGACTATATATCTGTCGCAAAAAAGAATAAAATCCTTTAGTTATATCATTCATAAAATAAAGAAAATTAATTCAAGCTGATTATTTCTTTACCCATGAAGATTCCACTCTCCTCTAATGGTTTGATTTAGGAGTTTTGGATCAGCACAAGCAGGTATGCCATTAACACGATTGTAAGAGCACATAATGCTGCTGACATCACCTTCTTTAATACACATCTCGAAAGGTCGATTGAAGGTTTCTACCATATCTTGTTCAGTCACCTGCATCGAGTAAAATTTTAATTAATTCTCATTCATTTTGAAAATTAAGATGATTATAAATTTTGGGAAAAAGAGTTTTTCTTGAAGAAAATTACTCTAGCATCGAAGGTTTCACGTATAATATTATTCCAATTGTCAACATCGTAGGCAGTAAAGTGCTTGCAACATGAAGAAACTTTAAGAGGTCTAGAGTCTGGATTTGGGTAATTTTCAGTCCCCTCAACATCCTGTAAGCCTCTTACAAAACTAGAAGCATATCTACCTATAATGAAAGGATCTTCTCCGTTTGTCTCAATAGTTCTTCCCCATCGAGGATCCCTTACTACATTAATAACCGGACTCCAGAAAGTTAATCCGGCCCGACCTAAATTGTACATTGCCCTTGCTTCGGTTGAAATAGCCTGCATTAGTTAAATATTTTACATTAATAGCTAATCCGTATGAGCAAAAACTGACTGTTGATGCTAGAAAAAGCAGCAAAACTAATTACCTGGCCAATAGTTTTCCATAAAGACTCATTAAAAGAAGCTGTTGTGAGTATTACAGTAGGGAAGCTAGTTGCAGCAGGAACAACTTCATCAAAGAAAGTTCCTGGGCCTACACTGGACACACCATGCAAGGCTTCAGACCACCAATTATATTTAGGTAACCCTAACCTAGGGACACCATAAGCACCATGTCCAAGCTGTTGAACCTTTTCTTGCAATGTCATATGGTTTACCAAGTCTCTAGCCCTAACATCATAGGGAAGGGACTTGTCACAGAAGACAAAATTTGCCATGTCCAATCCAAGGGCAGCGTACCTAGAAGGGTCACAGACATAAGTGAAGTTACTCCCACTGAAGGAGGAAGCATCATCTTTGCCTGATGTAGTGGCGTCTAATGCAAAATATGAAAATGGTTTTTTCAGTCCATTTCTAGCTGCTGTAGCAGAAATGCCAAGGAAAGCAACGCATATCAGATAGATAATGAGAATAGAACTTAAGCTTTCAGCCATAGCTTTTTTTGGTTATGCAGAGGTGCTTATGGTTCTAAGGCTGGTTATGTTAATTTATAGGCAATTCTTGATTTTTTTTTTCCTTGTTTTGGTTTTGAAATTGAAGTAAGATTTGTATATATTTTCGGTTAAGATTATATATAATATTGATATGTCTTTTTTTATTTTTTAATTTGTATATTATATTATTATTGAGTGTTTATCCAATAATATCATTCTTGATAAAAGGAAAAATCTTCATCTGTTGTTGTTTGGAAAATAATCTTCTTGTTACATATTTATCCACTAATATGTTTTTGAAAATGAAAAATTTTTTAATCTTTTGCTTTCTTTTTTGTAACAAAATTTTTTTTTTTTTTTCAGAGAACTTAATGAAAGTCTTTTATTCTCTTTTCGTTAAAAATAGAAATATCCAATAATATTATTTCTGAAATTGAAAAGTATATATAATTCTATTCTTAGAAAAAAAAGTATATGTAGTTTAACAGGTTGAATTGTTTGATCTCATATCTAGTACACATTACTTTTTGTCATGTTAAAAGAAGCCAGAATAATTTTGTAGATGTGTTAGCTAAAAAATGGATTTATGCGCAGATTCATTTCTTGACTTGGTTATGAAAAGTTTGTATTTTGATTTTATTGCAATTATTTATTCTCTTATCTCAAGAGAAGTAATAGCTTTTTTTTAAGAATTTTGTATTATCGTGGTTCTAGGTTTTTTACCTAATATTTTCAGGTTAAGTTGAGTTCTTTGTTGTGAATCTATTGGTTACAGTCTAAACACTTGAAAATATTAAGTTTTTACTGAATTTATAAAAATTAATAAATTAATTAAATTGTCTAAAAAAAAATAGTACAATTAGACACATGAGACAACTAAATATCCTATATAAGTGTTTAGTTTTACTAATTGTATAGGCAGCATAGTTAATCGGTGTGATTTTTTTTTTTTTTTTTTTTTTTTTCTTAGGAAAACAATTGACAACTCATAACTTTGTCTCATCTTGTTGGCTTTCTTAGTTTTGTCTATAACAAATAAAATTCTCTTTTTTGTGTGTTTTTTCAGAGAACTTAATATTGAGTAATGTTCTTTTATTTCTCTCGTGTTCAGTATATAAAAAAATACGCAAATATATCTCCTAATAATGGAGTTACTCCTTACTGAAACTCTGATAAAATGGCATATATCTATTATAGAGTTGCGTACTTCTTTAGAATAACACAAAATTAGTATATGGTAGTTATATACCAATAGTGTGTTTGAGAGAATTGTTTTGATTACTGTACTATCTAGGCGTTAACCCCACATTATTCGTCTGTGTGGATCATTGCGTTCTCAATATTCACGAAGCCAGAATATGGAATTTTGTAGAATTGTGAGTCTCAGCCTATAATACAATGGAAATCTTGCGCAGATTCCTCTCTCTCTGACTTTTGGTGTATTGGAATAAAGTTTTCTTGTATTTGATTTTAGGATATGCTGACCATCCACAATTTATTGCACTTATGATTAGAGTGACGTGCAAGAGAAGTCAAATAGCTTTTTTTTAAGAATTTTGTATGAATGCACAATTTTATTTTCTCGTCTATTGCCGCAATTTGTTGTGATTATCTTTTTATCGCCATCATTTTTTGTTCTTATAGGTTTTTGATTTTACTTCCTTTATTTTACTTTTCAGGTTTTATAGAATATTTGTATTTTCTTTTGTTGTTGAATCTTATTGCGCCTGTTACAGTCTAAACACTTGAAAATATTTAAGTTTTTACTGAATTCTATACAACAAAATTAATAAATTAATGTAAGAAATAATTGTCTAGAAGAAAAAAATAGTACAATTAGACACATGAGACACTAAAATATCCTATATAAGTGTTTAGTTTTACTAATTGATAAGGTATAGGCAGCCCATAGAATAGTGAATCGGTTTGTGATTTTTATTTTTATTTCTTTTTTTTTTATTTTAGTATTCTTTCTATTTTTTGAGTTTTCCAAGTAGGATTTGGTATATATTACAGCACCCTCTTATGATAAATAGACTACAAAGTAAAATCTATATTTAATTAACTTCTTATTATTAATTTTAGTCATATATCATATGATTGTACTCAGGAAATAAATACTTTTTGCTGTGTGTACAAAAAGACACTTTATAAACCAATTATTCCTAGATTACAAATTTGTTTTTTTTTTTTTTTTTTTTTTTTTGGTTAGATTCTTTCTATTTGAGTTTTCTAAGTAATTTTTTTCACACCCTATGATAAATGGAACAAATAATAATTTAATTAATTATTATATATCATATATCATATTCTGGGAATAACTTTTTGCTTTATAACAATATCCATCATATGTATTTTTTTTTTTTAAAACATGAGACAAGTAAGTATCCTATACATGCTTTTTATTTATCGATATTGCATGGATTGCATAATAAATCCGTGCAATTCTTTTTCACCTTAATAAATAAGTTTATATCGAGTATACATTATATAAAATATATGTTTATTTTGTTAATTTATATCCATAAAAATTACTATTTTCAAGCTTCAAATCCGAACCACCAAATTCTCTAAATACATCAAAATCTAACTCGTAAATGCTAAATAAAAAAATTTAGAAAATCTCAACTTACGTAAAATTGATTTCTTATTGAGATAAGAAGATAAATAAAATTCTAAAAGTACAATATTACAACAACCTATCAAATCAAAACAAAGCTAAAAAATAGCAGAGGTTTCAACACTCTTCTCCACCCAAGAATCTACAAAGTAATGGAAACATAATGAAATGAACGTGTCACAGGTTTTGATTAATGGAAAAAACTTGCCTCGACTTAGTTCATGGCCCCACTCATGAACTAAGCAAATGAAATTCAAAATTTTTTAAAAAGTGTTTTGACTTTATCTTTTTTTTTTTCAAATATATGGTCAGAAATACTTTCGTTTCAATGAGAATAATGAATTTCATTAGTTTATTCCATAAGTGAAGACATGGAGCAGATCTAGGCGAATTTTTCTCCTCAATTAAAGACATCAATTCTACTCAAAATATGCCACCATTTCTAACGTCTTTTTTCCTAACATGTTCCCAACAAATCACACTTCTTTAAAGGACAATCCTTTAAATGAAATTATGAAAACAACTCAGCAATCTTGATAATATCATATAATTCTGTTTCATTTGAATCGATAAATAAATGCCCAATGAATATGAAAGTCATTCATCCTTGAAATTTCTTAAAATCTTACCAAAATCCGAAAGTTTGGTTTTCTTTTTCTTTTGACATCTATATTAAATTTAAAACAGATGTCATTTGAAGAAATCCAAGACAAAGAGGAAACTAGTGTTTTTAAATCAAGACTAGCAGGTCAAACCGAGTTAACCATGACTGTTGGTCGATCCTGTTTGGTTTGACATGTAAAGTCCGGAGACCTAAGAACTGAATAAAATCGGTTCGGACAGGAAAAACAGAAAAATTGGATTGACCCAATTAAATCCAATTTTCGACTTTTTCACCTCTTACTATCCTTTTTTCGTCTTTACCCAAGGTGTCCTTACCCATTGTCATTACTATTACATGCATATGTATAAAATTACCTAGGGACTTGTACAAATAATTTAAAATGGTGGAGTGTCCTAGAAAAACTTAAACATCAATAAAAAGATGTGTATGATAAACTTTTTTTTTAAAATATAATAAACTCATTTATGAGTTTAATATGTATAATAGATTTTTATAATAATACTTTAGTTGTCGTTTTAGTTAATTAAAAAAATTTTAATATTAATAATAAAGCTAATATATCAATATTTATGAAAAGTAATCTATTTTCATTTTAGATTTTATTTTTTTATATTTAATTATTAAAAATAAAATAATAGTAATTTCTATGAAAAATGATAAGAATTCTAATGTTAAATTAATGTATATAATCAATCCCTAGTTTCATGCATTATATTTCATCAAATATTAAAAAAAATTAATATTTTAATAGTTTTCACTTTTTAATATTAAAAAAAAGATATTTTAAAAGGAAGAAAATGTTAAATTTTAAATTAGAGGTGATAAATTATTAAATTAAATCTAAATCTGAGATTAAATGATAATAAACTTATTTATTTATTTATAAATATTTAACTTTAATGTAGAAAAAATCGTAATAATTTACTAAGAATATAAATTCAACAGTATATTTGATAATATATATGTACACACCCGATTGTAAGAAAGGTTTGGAAAAAAATTTTACAATTATAATAATATTATTATTAAGAAAGTTCATGAGTGAATTTATGTATTCTACCTTATTTTGTTATAAAGTGTCCATCAATCTATTTTTAATTTTATAAACAATTTGTTAAAATAAAAATAAAAAATATTTATTTTTTTATTCTTAAAAGTGACATGAATTGTTTTATAAAATTGTGAGCCTACATATTATTTTGATATTTGATAAATTTTATTTAATAATTATAAATTAAAAGTCAAAAATTATGTTTAAAAATCAAAAATCTGGTTGATCCAAATCGACCTGATCTAACCACGACCCATTAACGATATCAATTGGACATACCGTCCAATTTTAAAAACACTGGGTTTAACTATAAAATTTACTTTCTTTATAAAGGTTAACGCTGCTATAAGAAACCAAATAGTACCAATCCTTATAATCACAAGGATAGAATCAAAATTTAAATTTCAGCAATTCAAAACTTACTTGTAATTTAAAATTGAAAACTTATAATTTACTTTATTTTATTAATTTAATTAATATATATATTTATGAATTTTTAATTATTTTTTATATATCCTATTTATTCTTTAATCCTATTTATTCTTTAAATAGAATAAATTAATTAATTAATAACTGAATTTTTTTTTATTTTTTAATCTAATACAATTGAAAATAAATTGTATTTATAAAATCATTTAAGTAGTTATTTACATAATCAAATTAGCTATACGATTAAAATACAAAAATTAAGAATGAAATTTATTTGTAATTTTAATATATTCCAATATTGAGTATTGAAATTTTGTCCTCCTTCTTCCTTCTTGCATTAAGGCATGAGCTCTATCAAGCCACTCTAACTTATAGTTTTTTTTTTTTTTTTTTTTTAAAAGTATATTTTTTTTTTTTTTTTTTTTTTGAAATATTATATGTCTTTCTATTATCAAATAGATAATAAACTAAATTTAGATAGAAATTTTGAAATATATGATGGATATCATATTTGATTCAAAAAATCTTAAAATAAAGATTAAAAATATCAAGCTTCCATCGAAATCATCACATACAACGGTTCTATCCTCACTTTCATAATAATTTTGAGTATAATAATTGATTTAATGTATAAAAATTGAGCTAACTTTGGCAATTAATTTTCTTACAAAATTCAAATTCTTGCTCAAGTAGAACCCAATAAATAGAAGACTCATCATGTTTGTAAATACATAAAGAACTCCCGTATGTAGCCATATGAAAAAATAAAATCTACATGCTTCTCTGTTTTTTTCTACTCGTATATTGGATCAAAATGCTCTTTATAGTTCTAATCTACAAATAATAAATCAACTAGAATAAAAAAGAATTATTCTTTCAAAATTTATAAAATATAATTAATAAACCATCTTAGCCAACAAATTAAAATTTGAAATCATGATAATTTAAAGAATCTAAGAAGAAGATTTTTTTTAAAAAAAATTAAGAATCGTAATATTTAGAGAAGAAGATTAAAAATAAATTTAGAAAGAAAAAAAGATTAATCTTGAAGATGAAAAAAATATAGAAAGGGATGAGAAATTCTTACCTGATAAAGGAAAGCCTAAGAACAACATTTTCTTTAAATCTAAATATTAGTAAAAAGACATATATATGCACCTGCACCTGTAAATATATAGGGTAAGTAAAAAAAAAAAAAAAATTATGCATATGCCCTAGACACACAAATATAAAGAATATTTACCCAAATAGGCATCCACATATGCCCTAGACACACAAATATAAAGAATATTTACCCAAATAGGCATCCAAATAATAATATCACTAAATTACTATTCTAATTTCCAGGCAAAACATAAATATATTTGCTTAATTATACAAATGGATTATATAAATACAAAGTGCAATCAAAAGAATCTTATCATGAGCTCTAAGGTTTCACAACTCGGTTTCCAGTCCCTGAGCAATATCATGAAACTTATGAAGGATGATCCGATCAGAAAAAGTATAAGCTCCTTTTTCACAAACTTGAAAAAAAGATTACTGAGTAAAATATAAAGCTAAAAAAAATAGAAAAACTCAACATAAAACCTAAAAAGTGAAGTACTCTTAACTGAATGACTCTTTGATGATTTTTTATCATAGAATAGAGACGATACTATGCGCTAGCTTCAAATCAGTGAAGATATAAATATGTATATACAGACTACGGTTGTTTTATGGATAATAAAGTATTCAAAAAAAATTCGAAGCGATACATATCTATTTAGAGAAAATAATTTTAAATATATATATATATATATCAAATTGAAACATAATATATATATATATATATCAAATTGAAACATAGAAAAATATATAAAAAAAGAAAAAATTCAAAATTTACTAAAAAGAGGAAAAATAGAATGCTCAAAACTATGCAGTATCTATATTGGAAACTCTATTTTCTTATTATTGTTCCATTAGAGTTCAAACATATTAAGCAAATAACAACACAAATCAACTAAAAAAATTAATTTCCAAAATAAGTTATTAAAAGTGTAAAGTAATAAAATAAATAAATATTTAAAATAAAAGTACATTAAATAAATAAATGCATGCATTTCACATTCACATCATTTAACTTCAACTTAACCTTTATAATCTTAATCATGCATAACTTAACATATCTTCTTGCGTACACAACCAGACAAGTTTACACTTCATCTTACATATTTAAGTATATACATATATGTTATTTTCATGTTTAAGTCGTAAACCAATATACTTCACAGCTCATGAATCTATACAAGTGACTTCATTGTCATTTAGAAAAAAATCCTTTCATTTATCAAAACTTTAGAAAACCACACTAGAAAATTTAAAATAAATTTTTTTGTTTGTTTTTTTAAAGTGTTCAGAGAAGAGAAGAATTTTCATAGCAAAATCATTTGTTCAGAAGCAACATAAACTATGCTTCTTCTGGATTCACCATGAACAAACGTTTTCACAAGTCACTCATGTTATCACTATCATGGATAAAAATCAGTTTAAAATAATAATTGAATATATTATATTCTTATTGTATTTAATATGTACCTTAAATAGTATAATATAGTTAATCAAAATTAAATTACATTTATTTCCTCAATCGATAAAATTAAAATCCTTAAAAGATATTGTATCTTACCATATTTAATATATAGGTTACTTAGTATATATTTCAATTTCTTAATTAATTCATCCAATAAAATTTAGATTTAAATAGAAAATTAATATAAGGAATCAAAATTAAATTACCTTTATTTTTTCGATCAATAAAATTAAAATTCTTAAAAATATTATATCATTATCATATTTAATATATACCTCATATACTATATAATATAATTTCTTATTTTATCCGATAGAATTTAGATTTAAATAGAAAATTGATATAAGCAATCAAATTAAATTGTTTTTATTTTTCAACCACTATCAATTAAACTCTTTTTTTTTTTAATCTCAATATTCCCCGTTTATTTCACTTATACTTAATCAATTAAACTCCTTTTTTTTTTAAGTCTTCAATATCCCCGTTATTTCACTTAATAGATAATAAATATATATATATATATAAGAGAAGAGATGAGAGAGAGAGAATGAGAGAGGAGAGAGAGAGAGAGAGAAGAGAGAGGAGAGAAAGAAAGAGAGAGAGAGAGAGAGAGAGAGAGAGAGATTATAGATTAATTATGCTCAAATCATCTCTAAGAGTTGCATTATATAGATGTGTGTATAATTTGTGAGAGAATGAAAACAAGCTCTTAGAAAATTCATTCTCCATTAAACTGCGTATAAAAGCTTTCTTTCCCTTACTTTTCAATCTTGTTTTTTTTTTTTTTGTTTGAACAGCTATTTTTTTCATTCACTAACTATATTTACATGTTCTTTTCTCATTCTGCTTTTCTTTTTATTTTTCAATCATAACATGAGAAGTCCCAAATGGCAACAGTGCATTTTTATTTCAGCAACAAGTCCTGCGATTGCCTAGGATGCAAGAGGAAAATTAAAAATGTTCTGAAGAACAAATTATATAAAATTTTATTTTGATTCCAGTTAATTAGATACTTAATCACTTATTTATTACAGAAAGGTGAATATAAAATTGCTCAAGAGGATAATTATGGTGATGGGGATGCTTCAGAGATTGAAGATTATGAAATAAATTCGGGCAGTGTAAAAATCACGGGCAAACTAAGCAAAGAAATAAAAGATCAAGCCTTGGAACTTGGAAGCCTTGAAAAAGTTGAAAGGGCCTGAAGTGTCGGTTCTAGACCTAAATGATGCTGCTACCTTCTCCAGTGTAACGGCCAGGGTGACACGAAACATTGGGGGTTCAAACTAGCCCTGAAGCTGGACCTGTCCCTCAGGCTCAGCATCCTTTGCCTCAAAATGTAGCGGTTCAAACTTGGCCTGAAGCTGGACCTGTCCCTCAGCATCCTGCAGCTGCACCTGTCCAAGTCCCTCAGCATCCTGCGCCTGTCCCTCAGCATCCTGCAGCTTCGCCTGTCCCTCATCATGGACAAGTCCCGTTAGTATGGGCCACTCATGGAGACGATGGACCTAGAGCAGACGTGCAAGAATCTCAGTATGGGTTTTCCTCTGAAAATAGCGAGGATGGGCAGCCTCCATATCATAATGGCTATGAACATGGACCTCAACCTCAAGATAGATTTGAACATGAAGGCGAGTATTATACACTTCAGAAAGGGTATATTCACCGACAATAGGAGTCACAGCTTAGTAGTGATGAAAGTCCTAGATCATGCTTTATCTTGTGAGTCGTTGCTCATTCTAGAGTTCTATTGAACAATAAAAAGCTGTTTAGGAAAAAGAAAATTAGTTAATGCCTAATGGCTATATGCAATAAAACAAAGTTAGTCTCTTATGATTTTCTTTTCTATATAGATTTTGTTTTTTGGAGAGATTTGATGCATTTTATTATGTCATCAAATTACTTAATTTGACAATTTCTAATTTTTTTTTATTTTAAATTATTATAATAATATCTTTAGCTAAAGCTGTGTTGAAAGATACAATGAAGGGGTTATAATGAATGTCTCCATTAAAAATTTATAAGCTGAGAAATTAACCCAAAGGAGTGGCATTATCGGTAATTTGCATTGGCATAAAATCACTCTACACAACAGCATTGGCATTATTGAAACTTAGAGATAAAAATTATTGAGAACGCATTAAAAGTTTTGAATAGAATATTTCCACTGAAGATTGAGAAGGCAAAGCCCCAATCAACTCAGCGACTTATAGCTATGCTGTTGTTTTTTTTTTTTTTTTTTTTTTTTTTCTTTTTTTTTTTTATTCTCCAGATTGAAATGGTCGAACTGTCTTCTCATATTACAATTAATGGTAGAAATTGCAAAATAAAAAAAATGTTTACCAATTTTAAAATTCCGTAAGCATTGAATAGAAAATTAAAAGAATATGAAATTTAAAAAAATCCATTAAAACTATCCATTAAATTTGGCACATTAAATTCTAATTTTTGAAGATAAAAAGTGCTAATTGAAGATTTTAATTTTTTTGGCATATTATTCGTTTTTTAAAAAGAAAATGATGTGAAGTAACTTAACAGAATATATATATTAGTATTATAGTATATACTAGTATATATAATAATAAAATATAATAAATAAACTACAATAAATAGAAAAGGCTATTCATGAACTCAATTTATAATTGGTACAAGCCTTTATATATAATAATAATAATAATAATAATAAACTCCATAAAAGAAGAGCTATTCATGAACTCATTTATAATGGTAAAGCCTTTACAATTGTATTTCACAGTGCATAGAGCAGCATAGTTATTTATATATATGACAAAAATGATATCTCACCGCAAGAGCTACTTCAAAACAAAACCATATTTTACTTTGTTTGCTTTACTTTCCTCAACATGCCTTGACTGCCTTTAGTCTCCATCTTCTCCAAGCCAAGCACCCTTTCTCTCCAATTATTGGATTCAGAAGCTTTCTTTTCAATCGTTCACGTCTAGTTATTTCTTCATAGCCATCTTTTGGAGCTAAACTCTTCATGGGGAGCAAGGGGCTCCCCATATCTGTAGCATCCACAATTTTATTAACCATCTCTAGAACTTCACTCATTTTGGGGCGTGATTTGGCTTGTCGAACCAAGCATCTGTTGGCAACAGCAGCAAGTTTTTGTGCAGACTTGAGATGATACTTTCCGTCAAGCCTTGGGTCCAAAATCAACCTGAATTTCTTTACATCTGATAAGTGTGGTCTAACCCATTCCAATAGCTTTTGCTCATCCTTAGGCCGGTTTCGATCCAATGGACGCCTGCCGGTAATAAGTTCATAAAGGAAAACTCCATATCCCCACACATCGGACTTAGATGTGAGACGCCCGGTTTGAATATATTCAGGAGCTGCATATCCTATGGTTCCAACAACCTATTTGGGAACAATCACACAAACTGCTGTCATTAGTTTGTCTAGTTCTATATCAAGAAATATATATATTAATGGCAAATGAGAAATGAAAATCTAAATTAGGTTGCTAGGTCAACTAGAAAAGATTGTGAAATATGACTAAGAATCATTTTGAGTAACAATGAACATACCGCGGTCGAGATATGACTCAACCCATCTGAAGGCCCCAATCTAGCCAAACCGAAGTCCGATAACTTAGCATTCCATTTATCATCCAGCAGTATGTTGGAAGACTTGAAATCTCTGAAGATAATCTATGACAACAATGAAAAAGGAAATGGTGAATGCAACACAAGTGAAGTAGAACAATTAGTTCCTGTTTCAAAACCTTATTGAGGAAACAAACTAAATTGAATAGAAAAGGAGAAAGAAAGAAGAAAAACAGGGACACAAGATAGGTATGTTAATCAGAACCTCGTGCAAAACCACCATAGATGAAATCTAGTAAGCAAATAAGTGCAGACATGCATAACCTTACTATGTCTAAAGAACAAATTTTTTATTAAGTTAGGTCAAGCAATCATCCTTCCTTGCTTATTTTGACTTGCATGAGATTCAAATATTTAATTGCATATGCTAGACATCCTAGAATGCGTGATCTTAGCCAAAATTCTTGGCAGTTCACAAATCTGGTAGCTGACTTGAAATGCTGAAACTATGATGCCAATTTGATGGGACCATTGGTTTGCACTTTCCTATATATGCATAGATTCACAACCTGTTGATTGTCAGAGTTCATATGCAAAAGATTATTTAGAGTAATTTGCATCAGCAAAGGTTGATTAAAAATGTTGCTAGGCATAGACCGTATCAATGAAGAAATTAACTGAAAGGATCATAAACTCACAGAGAAGCTTAGAGATAAAAATTAACGAGAATACATTAAAAGCCCTCACAGAAAATGACATTCTTCTGAATAGAAGACTTCAACTGAATTTTTTAGAAGGCAATGCCTTGAACAAATCAAACAAGCATGCAAGCCAGAATTCTCAACAATTTACAAGCTGTTGCTTAATTCTCATAGTTCTGTTGAAAAAAGCCTCTGTAAGGATCTAGAGTTAGAAAACAGAACGTTGAGGATCATATTCAGTCCAAGAAGTTTTATGCTAGTTGATACCATATTGAGATTGTCACCTCCGGGAAGTTCTCTATTCATTGCTAGTAATCTTATAAATCAGCTCTTTGAATTTAAACCTTGAAACTGATTTTGGATGGTTAGATCATCATTTACCATCTTTTTAGCAAAACCAATCATGTATGAAATTGACAGTGACAGAAATGCAATTTCAAAGATAATAAGAATGTACCTGAAAATCCATTCCTTCATGAAGATATGCTAAGCCACGGGCAGCATCCTGGGCAATTTTTATTCTAGCAGCCCATGGCAGAGGTGTCTGAAATCTACTTGCCAAGTGATCCTGCACACTTCTGTTGGGCATATATTCATAAACTAGCAGGCGCTGAATTCCTCTTTCATCATCCTCAGCACAGTAACCTACTAATTTGACAAGATTCTGATGTTCAACAACTCCTAGAACATTTACTTCTGTCACCCATTCCTTGTGCCCCTGTAGAAATATGTAAAAATGCATATCTAAATCCAGTACTTGAGAATGTTGAAAGTGAAGAAAGACAGGAAAGTACATTTTATTATAAAAGAACAAACCTACAGAAAAGCTCTAACAAAAACTGACCTAACCATTTCTTAATACTCATTAAGTCATTCTTAGTCCTAAATGAGGCATCATAACTGCTATTACAATCTCTCTGCCAAATCAAGTTAAATTTTCATGCCAATTTTTCACCTTCTTTGCCTTTGCACCTAGGTTTACAGATAATTCATTTAAGGAAAGGAATACAAGCGGTCCAATTAGAATACAGGCACATAGGAAATCAAGATTTAAATTAGACAACACGGGCACATATGTAATCCATGCATTCCTTGAATTTTCTTGCATGTTCTGTAAGACCAGAAGAAAACAATACAAAGCTTAGAACCTTATATTCATTAAATCATCCCCTTCACAGAGTCAAGAACTATAAGTATCTGATCATTGCCCACTGTCCATAATCAAGATCACCCTGATGTTATTTCCGGACTCACAAGAAATTTAAAATCCAAAACAAAAAGAAGCTCAATATTGCCAACAATAAAAAATTGTAAATATCTTCAAACTAAAAACGGTAAAGGAACAAAAGGAGGACAAAGTGATTCCTCATCTAATGATGTCAAGAATTCTTCTGAAGTGGACCACTAAAAGTTAATTAACATTGAAGTTGCAACCTACTTTTCAGAAAAGCATCATTTGGATTTGATGTTAAAAATAATAGTTTCAAGACGTTTTTATGAACATGTCCCAGATTCGCCTCAAACAATTTTTAATGGGCTTAATCAACATTTTTAATATAATGATTTCCTCAACAGCAGTAACAAAAATCATAATGCCAAATAGACCATAATCCAAGATCAAACACATGCATACAAGAAGGAAGGAAAAGAAGAATGCTTGCCTGTAGCCCTCTCCTACTCAATTGTTTAACAGCAATATCTACCTTCTTATTTGTTGTGCGGTGCCCACTCAAGTGGGACCCACAATAAATTTGAAAGGAAAATCAAGGAAGTCAAAAATGGAAAGCAACGGAGTTGTACACGGCATTCCTAAACACGAGCATTACGAAGAAGGACCGGAAAAGAGAATGCTGCTGTTAGCCCTCTCCTACTCAATTGGTGTTTAACAAGCAATACTAATCCTTCTTATTTGTTGTGCGGTGCCTCGTCACTCAGTGGACCCACAATAAATTTTGAAAGGAAGAATCAAGAAGTTCAAAATATGGAAAGGCAACGGAGTTGTAAAAACGGCATTCCCTATCGCATAGTCAAAATGGAAGGCGAAGTGAAGTTGTACACGGCAGGTGAGTGGTTATACATGGCATTCCTCACGGCGTTTAAACCCTGCCTATAATCAGAGGCAGAGGCAGAGACACAAAACACACCCAGAAAAAAAGAAAAAAAATGTAGAGAGAGCGATGTGTTACCGTTTTAGGATGATTTTCCTAAAATCTGAGGAGAAGAAATAGATAGTGAGAATTATTTGGGGTGGTTTTGTGGAAGAACACTTTGTTGGCCACTATTTTTGTATTACTCTCTTGTGTACCTACTAATTGTTTTAAGTAGTGGAAAGAGATGATTCGAGTTTTCCCGTGGACGTACCCTAAAGAGTCGAGGGGAACCACGTAAGATTTCCTGTGTTCCGCAAGTTTATTATTCCCGCTGTCCGTAAATTATTCTTAAATTGGTAATAAGGGCCCACGAGTGGTATTCAGAGCTGATGGCCCCAACAGACTGGTTATCAATGTGAATATCCTAACAGTGGTATCAGACGAAAGGTTTCGGCAGGTCCATGCCGGTCAGATAGCGGTATCCTATGGATTCCGTGGATATTATTTTGATAAATAAATAGTACCACGATGACGAGAAAGATTACGACGAGTCCATTGGTGTTTGTCCTCGGAATAAACGTTGCAGAATCGACTTAAGTGATGAAGTATGTAAAATAGTAACTCAAAGTTGAGGTGAAATCAGTACTGATTGGCCGTGCTCGAGTCCGTTTTCAATATAAAGCCGCAGCACTATTCAAGGCATAGTAAGCTGATTCACTGCATAACGAGTTAGTATGCACAATAACAAGTTACTATGCGAGTATAACTTTCTATTTCATGGTACTATTTCACGTAACTATACTGTTCATTGTATACGTTAGTTGGTGTGATATTCTGCACAAGCAAAAATGGACAATGTAAAATGATAGTCTACATGGCGGGAGATTACCGATATATGGAGATAAATGAGAGATTCTCCTGTATGGTAAATCAAATGTCAAGTTTTTTTGCTTGTGTTTATTGAATCTAAAGCCGGAAGAGAAGAACTGATGAAAAATGGGTTTTTGAGCAGCTTTCGAGCATGCGTCCAAATCTCGGTTGGCAGATTTGATGATGAAGGTTTCTGTAGCACCTTCAGAAATGGTCAGTGGAAGCTCAGAAAAGGTACATTTGTGGTAGCTAAAGACCGAAAACTGTACGTGATGCGTGCGAAACTCTCCTAAGACACTTTGAGTGTAGCGGAGAATGACTGTACAGTTGAATTGTGGCATAAACGATTACGCCACATGAGTAAGAAGACTCTGGCAAGAAAGAACATACTATGTGGATTGGATGAAGTTCACCTAGATAAGTGTCCTGATTGTATGGCGGGAAAGCTAAACAGAGTAGCTTTTAAGATTACCCCTCCTTCTAGAATGAAGAATGTATTAAATCTGATTCATTTAGATTTGTGTGGACCATTGACGATGTCATATGGTGGAAATCGATATTTTGTAATACTTATCGAAGACAATTCTAGGAAGACCTGGGTATACACATTGAAGTCTTCTAAACCTGGTTGAGAGACAGACAGGCAAGAAAAACCTGGTTCAGAGACAGACAGGCAAGAAGCTGAAGTGTATCAGGACAAATAATGGTGGAGAATACACTGGGCCATTTGATGTTTTCTACAAAGAGCATAGTATTCGACATCAAACGACACTTCCCAAGACGCAACAACTGAACAGTTTGGCGGAGAGGATGAACAGAACTTTGATGGAGAGAGTCAGATGTTTACTCTCATATGCAAAGTTGTCTAAAAGATTTTGGGGTGAAGCGTTACCCACAGCAGTTCGCCGTTCACTCTGTTTCCCTCTATAGTATGATACTCCAGAGAGAGTATGGTTAGGAAAGGATGTTTCCTATGATCATTTGCGGATTTGCCAGGTGTTTTTTGATGCGAAAGCCCCCCTTTTTTCCCCTAAAAAAAACATGTCCCCCGAAAGGATGAACGGGCGAAGCTTGAATGTCAAAGAACTAGAACAGTGGTGTATTCATTGCTGTATGGCCAAGAACCAATGTGACTATAAGGTTTTCATGACCCAATCCCAGAAGAACGATTATATGAGAATCGTTATTTGTTGAAGATCAGACTATTGAAGATATTGAAGCAGAGTGCCAATAGATCTGATGAAGACTCAACAGACATACAGAGAGTCCCTCCAATAGAAGCAGATGAATTGGAGATGAAAAAAATGTTCCACAAGAATAAGTGCCAGAGTTAGAAAATCCAGAAGTTCCTAATCAAAATGAACCAGATGAAGATTATGGTGTTCATGTTCAACCACCAGTACCGGAAGGTTCTCAAACATTAAAGAAGATCTAATAGAGTCTGACAACCATATACTAGATATCCAGTCAATGAGCATGTACTAACGACTGATGGGGGAGAACCTGAAAGCTTTGAAGAAGCTATGGAAAATGAACATAAGAGGAATTGGATTGAAGCCATGCAAGATGAAATGAAGTCCTTGCATGAGGATGAAATATTTAAGCTAGTGAAGTTGCCTAAAGGCAAGAAAGCTTTGAAGAACAAATGTTTTGAAGAACAATGGGGGTGTTCAGTATCAAAGCAGGAAGAACACAGCTCCCAAACACAATTCAAAGCTTAGAACTGGTTGTGAATGACATCCATCTCGACAGTGCTCGGAATGGCCACCAGTTTTTTTGCATGGAAATCCGGAGCAAATGGAATGGAAAGACTACCTTCCAAAATGGAGATTTGGAAGAAGAAATATACAATGGAAGCTGCCAATGATTTCGTATGAAAAAGAGGATTTGTGTTTGCAAACTGAAGAAAAGTCTGTATGGCTTGAAGCAGGGGCACTGAGACAGTGGTACACCTGGAGAAGTTTGAGTCTGTTATGGGGAGCATGGCTACAGAAAGACTACTTCAGATCACTGTGTTTCTATGAAGAAATTCTCTGATGATGACTACATTGTTTTTGCTCTATATTGTTGATATGTCGATTGTTGGTCAGAATTCTAGCTTGAAGAAATAGCTATGTAAGTCTTTTACTTTGAAAGACTTAGGACCAGCAAAGCAAATTCTTGGCATGAAGATTGAAGAGCCAAGAAATTATGGTTCACAGGAGAAGTACACTGAGAAAGTACTTCAAAGGTTTAGAATGGAAAACGTTAAAGCGGTTAGTTGTCCTCTTACTGATCACTTTAAATTGAGTTCTAAACAGTGCCCTTCTACGGATGGATAGAAGGAAGAAAATGGAAAAGATTTCATATGCTTCAGCAGTTGGAAGCTTGATGTATGCCATGGTTTGTACACGGGGAGCCGTGTTCGTGACAGTCAAAGCTCAATTCACCCTTGGAAGAATTCCTCCTTCCATTCTTATCACTAATCAGGGATGTGTTGGAGATGAAGGCTGTTAACAGCTTGGAGAAGATCACATACAAAGAAGAAATGGATCAGTCATGTTACGAAGATTTTTCAAAGGAAGAAGTTCGAATGACTGTCGGTTAGCGTTGGAGTGACGATGAATGGGCTAAAGTCCCACTGGAGTGTGCAGTGGGGAGATTTGTTGTGCGGTGCCCATAAGTGGGACCCCAATTAAATTTGAAAGGAAAATCAAAGGAAGTTCAACAAATGGAAAGCACGGAGTTGTACCACGGCATTCCTCACGCATAGTCGGGAAAAATTGGAAGGCAAGTGAGTTTGTAACACGGGCAGGAGTTGTAAGCTGGCATTTTCCCTACGCGTTAACCTCTGCGCTATAAATGAGGCAGAGGCAGAACAAGCAAACACACCAGAAAAAGAAAGAAAAAAGTAGAATGGTCGAGTGTTACCAGAGTTTTAGGAATGAGTTTTCCTAAAACGGAGGGAGAGAAAAATAAGTGAGGATTATTTGGGGGTGTTTTTTGGGAACACTTTGTGTGCCACTTATTTTGTATTACTCTCTTTGTAACCTACTATTGTTTTATAGTGGAAGAAGTGATTCGGAGTTGTCCCGTGGACGTAGCCCTAAAGAGTTGAGGGTGAACCACGTAAATTTTCCTGTTGTGTCCAGTTTATTTTCCGCTGCCGTAATTATTTTCTCTTAATTGGTTAATAAGGGCCAACGAGTGGTATCGCTGCCGTAATTATTTTCTCTTAATTGGTTAAAAGGGCCCAACGAGTGGTATCAGAGCTGATGCCCAACAACTGGTATCAGAGTCGATATCCTAACATTATTTGCATCTTCAGCGCTCCGGATTACTCCTCTATACACACTTCCAAACCCACCTTCTCCAATCATCAGAGAGCGGCTGAAATTCTTTGTGGCTGTCTTCAACTCTGAGAATGTGAAGACTCTGAGATTACTTTGTCTTTGAGACAAAGCAGCAAATGAGTTCTTAGTTGAGGAATCAGTGCTAAAATCTGACACAGTCTGTGAATTGAACTCAGACCCAGATCTCTTCACATCATGATCAGTTGACATTGACATGGAAGTAGAAGATGAGTGAACAGAAACAGATTTTATAGCTTTTTGTTCTTCATTCTTCACTTTATTGGAAAAGTAAAAGCACTTCATAGCATCTAAAAGACCAATTGCCTCACTGCATACACCCAATTCTATTAGGATGGAAAAATTGCTACAAACTAAGACTAATAAATTAAAACAAAAAAAGAAAAGAAAAGAAATATATATATATACAATGAATTCCAAAAATAATTATTTATAATAATTTCGAAAGATTTAGAGGTCAAAAATTCCGATAAGCGCCAAAATTTTCTTGACAGAACAACTAAGAAATCATATCCAATATCCTTAAAGCAATCCTCAAAATTCCTTTCCACAAAAGCAACATTTTGATTACCAGTAACTCCAAAACACAGGCAGAACTCAAAATAATCGTTTAACTTTTTTGACAATTTAAAACCCTTCTTCCTAAACAATGCAATTCCCAAATACATTATCAATTACTATAGAAATCGCATAAGATATTAAGATTACAAGGCAGCTATCAAAAAATTAATAATGTAAACACAGATTCCATTGACGCATCCAATTCAAGAAAACTAAACTCCATTTTTTCACTAAATATACAAGAAACAGCAAGAAACAGCTCACCTCTTTTATAAATATATATCAGCAAAAATGAAATGGAGGAGCAAGAAAATGGTATCCTTCAAAGTTCAAATGTATTCACATAAGAGTGTTTTTCAAGAGAGACCCAAAATTAAAAAACAGAAAAGCGAGAAACCTTGAAACATAACAACGAGCACTCCATGACCTTAGGCAAGTCAATAGAAGGCAGCTGGATTTTAGCTCACCAACCAAGAAACCCCATTAAAATAAAAGAGAGAGATGGAGAATGAAAAGATTAATTAAAAAGAAAGTAAAGACAGTGTGGAAAAGGTCTTGCTTTAGGCGGTGGGGTTGTTTCTTCTTTCTTGGATAGATAGGATTCTTAAAGATGAAATCACAAAGAATCAGTCATGGATAATACAGTTTTGTATTTTGAATATAAAATAATTACCTGAAACATTTATACTGTACGTGGGGTGTTTAAATGTTAGTTAGGAATTTGAAATCATGACTTCGCTAGCTGTGTTCTTTCTTTCTTTCTTTATTTATTTATTTTAATTATGGCTCCTATAATTTGCATTAGAATTTTTCAATTAAACATAAGGGTAATTACTATTTTAGTCCCTCAATGAAAGTCAGAACCTATTTAGTAGTATCTTCCTTCCCAATACATGTAATATTTAGAATTTTACGTTGCTTAAAAACTTATGAAATTTATCTAAACTACAATAAATTATTATATAAATCGATTATATTATTTTTAATTTAATATATAAAAGTAAAATTTTTGAGGAATTGAAATAATAATTGTGGTTATATATAAAAGACAAACAGGGAAAAAAATTATTATTCCTTGAAACTACAAATGTAACAAGTAGTTTGAAACATATTACTTTTTCATATGTGACAAGTATTTAGAAATGAATTATCTACTAACTCAGTCTTATTAACTTTTAGATTTCATAAATTATTCAAAAAATACATATTTAAATTAAGCTACTTAAAGGTGCATATTTATGATTGAATATTATGTAAATATTTGATTATTTGATGCTTTATATTTAGTATAATATTACTATTTAGTCATTTGTATTTAACTAGTGTTTTTTGTGACATGCATTACACGTAGTTAGTATTCGGTATTATTTGTTATTTATATTCATTAATTTATTTTTATATAGTATTAAATATGATTATAATTTTTTTCTTATATTCTCTAGATATTTATATATTATATAGTATTAAATATGATTATAATTTTTTTCTTATACTTCTTAGATATTTATATAAAGTTAAGAACAATGATTATATAATATTTAATATGTATAAGGGAATAATAATTCTTTTTAAACTAATTTTAGATATGATAGGGGACAGACATTTAAATCAAGGATATTTTAATAAAAATAACTTTTATAGATGGTGAAGAAAATTATTTTAAATTATAAAATTAAACTTTAATTTTTTTTAAAATGACAAGGTTAAACATTAAATTAGCCATCGATTCTTTAAAAAACTAAATAAATATGAGATTTTTCTTATATTCTCTAGATATTTATATAAAGTTAAGACATGATTAATAATATTTATATTATAAGAATAATATTCTTTTTAAACTAATTTTAATATGATAGGACAACATTTAAAGTCAAGGATATTTAATAAAATAACTATAGATGGTGAAGAAATTATTATTAATTATAAAATTAAACTTTAATTTTTTTAAAAATGACAAGGTTAAACATTAATTAGCATCGATTTCTTTAAAAAAACTAAATAATATGATTCTGTGTTTTTTTTTTAAGAAAAATGATCTTACGTTATTGAATGTTGATTTGAATTCATGAAAAATTTAGATATAAATAAGAAAAAAAATTCAAAAATTTAAAAGTGATATACACATGTATGTGTGAAACAATTTTTTATTTCGCATTTTAAAGTTTATTTTAAAATTAAAATAATAATCAGTTTTTTGAAATAATTAATATCGTAAATAATCAATAATTGAAAGTTCAATTAGAATAATATATTTAAATAATAATATTATTAAAATATAATACTATAAGGTTTTTAATCAATTAATAAAAAATTATTAAAAAATTATAATTTATCAATGACTAAAAATTCAAGTTATTTAATAAACTCAAACTATTATCAATTATTTAATGACTAATGATATTTTAGAATTTATAAATTTTTATTAAGCTTATTACAGATAATCTCATTATTCTCTTTCATTCCATTTTTTATATATAATATAGATAAATAGTAAGAACATTTTTTTAAATAGAATAATTAAATTATTTAGTGGATTCAAAACTAACAACGATTCAATTATTTAGTTGCAAAGATTCAGTAGTAATTAAGGTTAAATTCAAGGACTAAATAGTAATTTAAATTTGAATTTAAGTTAATTATGCTTTTATTATAATTAAACTTTAAAATGATTTTAAACATAAATATTCTCTTGAAATTTTAAAAAATAATTTTAATCAGTAAAATAAAAATAAATCCACATTTAAATATTTCTATCAGATATTAAAAAACTGAAGAATAAAAGTCAAAAGATTAACGGGTATGAAAAGGAATTTGAAAAGATTTAAAAAGTCCAAGAATAATAAAGAAGATATGACGTGGCTGATAATTGATATATAATATGTGTCTATCAAAGAATGTTGATCACCAAGAAATGGTATTGCATGGTTTGCTTTGTCATGTGCTGTACTTGTTAGGTGCTTGTATATTGTCAATGCTTACCCTAATAGGACAAAAGTAGGCATGGCCAATTCGCCATTGGTTCGATTAGAGCCAGAATCTAGCTAGAAATAAATCGTGTTGCGGATGAGTTGGAATCAGAAGTTCATAGATAGATTAAAGTTCACGTTAACGTTAAAGAAGAACCTGAATTAACCGACAACAAAGGGTTTAATAAACAATTTGGTATGGTTCAAATTCAAATTTTTATTTCTATCTAAAAGATTTTTAATTGCGTAATTTGTCATATGCTCAATCAAAAGTCTAAATAAACATGCTACTATATGGTATACTTGAGTTTATTGTGATGCAAAATATATTATTTGGTATAAATTGGAGTTCAATATCTTTTTTTTCCCCTTTTAAATCTTTTTCCTTAGCCTAAAAATTGTATTGTTCGAAACATTTTTTTCTTTTAAATTTTTCTAATAATTTATTTAATCAATAATATTTAGATAAAATAAAATCATATTTATTTGATTATTTTATATTTATTTACAAAGTTAATGATTTTTATTTTTTATTTAAATTAAAACTTTATTAATATTTTTTTCTAATTCACATTGATTTTTTTCAGAAAAAAAAGTGATATTAGAACTGGATTTTCATTTTTTTTTTAAAATACCTATATTATCATCAAAATTGTGATATGAAACGTCAGTTGATTAGAACTGTGATGAAATCGGTTGAAACTAACATCAAATCTAAAATGACAATTCAAGGATCAATTCAAGTTTAATATTTAAAAAATTTTGAACTACTGTGATGAAATCGCTTAAAACTAACACCAAATCTAAAATGACAATTCAAAAATCGATTCAATTTTAATATTTAAAAAATTTTAAACTACCAATTTAGTGAACTGAATCCAACAATTCAATAAATCAAGCATGCCTAGGACAAAGGATATATCTCACCCGTGTATACCTAATTATGAAAGATTTTTTTTAAAAAAAATTGATTATTTTTTAATAGATTGTTAAAAATATTCTCTTTTGAACTTTTTTTTTTTTTTAAATTGGTTTAATGGATTGCACAATACTAAATTTTTAGAAAAGTTAGTATTTATATAATATTATTTTAATCATCTTGGTACCAAACTTGCTACATAGCTTTAGTTGTTCTCTCTCATTAAAAATTTCCTTTCCTTTCCTCCATTCAAACACAAAAATAACACAAAAGTCAATCATGTAGATATGAGCAAGGAGCTAATTCTTGTCTCTTGTAATAACTCCTCCCTTTTTTTTTGGTTTTGTTGTAAATTTTTATATTTTTTGTTAAAAAAAATTATAGACCTATGTTATTTATATTTTTGTTATTTTGTGATTTATCTCCATCCTGTGTGGAGTTTATGATCTTTTCATTTTAAATGGAACATTATTTTATTTTTTGTATTTATTTTGTTTTATTTGGACAGATGTGCAATATGTAGAAAATTTTTTAATACACGATGATATATGATTTTTGGAGCCGTGCGGCATGTTCTTCCATTAGATTTAGTAGTTCAAATCTTTTATATTCATTATAAGTAACTAGTTCATGGAATTATATCATGTATAGAAGATTTAGGAGTTTGTCTATTTAGTCATTTTAAAGATTTATTAATTTTTTCAAGTTCACCTTTCAATTTTCATTAAGATTTCTTATTAGATCAGCAAATAATAATTATTTTAGTTATAATAATTTTATTTTATGTTTAGTTTTAGGAGAGTGGTCATGTCTCCGATATTATTTATATTGATTTGAAATTTTTAATGAAATCCTAATATATTATATTCAAAAATATCATCTTGGTATCGGTGGCGAACATAATTTTAAACTAGATCAATACTAAAAAAAAAATGGTAAACATAGCATAATACAAGTAAAAGATTGATGTAACTCATTATAAATTATAATTAACTAGATAAAGCCCGCGGCATTACACGAGTTAATTACTTTATTACGATACATGCTTTGTTGAGAAAGGCTAAAATCAAATCAAAATCTAAAAATTCAAACCCTGAAAATAAAAATGGAGTCTTTTGAATCGAACATTAACATTGAAGATAAACAAATCACACCAATAACAGCCAAATCACCCACATAAAAATCACTCACGATATATGTAAAAACAACGTTACAAAATCTGGTTTTCAACTTCCCTCGTTCCATAACTGGCCAAACAAAATCAATTCTTAATCAACTTGCCAAACACCCTTATCCCATGGAGTGGAGGTTCGATGCAGAGACAACGCTTATGTCTTCAATGTTCCGCTGTTGCTTCCTCGGCTGAAGAGAAGGCTAAGGTGCAAGATGAGAGGAGGAGAGCGGATGAGGAAATGGAGTTTGAGGTAGAGGTTTGGGAGGTGGTATTAGTTGGAGAGACTCTGAGGTAGTGAAGGCTCTGATTAGTGGTTGACAGGTGGTGGTGGTAGTGGTGGAGGAGTGGTGAGGATAGGCCGTGGTGGTGGTGGAGGGTTTTAATAAATACGTGTTGCTTTTTGTGCAAGGGCATGAATTGTCATTTAAAAAACCTATCTCAACTCTCTCTTCAATTTTGTCACATTTTAACGATAAAAATAATTAAAACTGGACGGAGGACCATTTAATACACCGAGGCAATTGTGAGAATGACTTAAATATTAGATAAAATGTCGGAAACTTCTTAAATAATTATGGTAAATTTGAGGAACTAAATAATTATTTTTCGATATTTCATTGATAGACATCCATAATTGCGGAGCATATTTAAATTCAACCAAATAAACCAATTAAATTAGTTTAGTCTATTTTTTTAATATGAATTTCAATTTAAATGAATAATTTATTTCTTTTTTTTTTTTTTTAAGGTTTGGTCTCAGTTTCATGAAGTTTAAAAAATTAGACTTCAAATTGAATTGACCTGAAAAATACTTATAAAAATTGACATCAGAATCAATTTGATTCAGTTTGGTTTAAATTAGTTTATATTTCAAAAGTTTTATTTGACTTGATATCCTTTAGTTAGAACCAACCATTTAGCGGTTAATGTAGCAAGGCAAATTCTGTTCAACTAGAATTGAGCTCCTCAAAGGCATTTTTAAATTTGAAATCAATTTGTTTGTAATTTTTAATTTAAAAAATTAATTTGTTTATAAACTTAAACTCAAATTTGAATTCGAAGCAGGCTTGAACTCAATTTATTAAATTTATTGAAACAAACTTTTTGAACTACATTATGAACGAGTCATAAGTTGCCTGCTCATTTATAATCCTAATTATTGATTTATGATCAAAGTTTTTTTGCTAGAAATAGAAAATCCATAAATAACAACGAAATTAAATATTAAACATAAATTTAGTTTAAGAATTTAAAAATGAATGATACACACATATACCACTTTAAACAATTTTTTGGTAAGTCAAAAACTATACTATGCTAATATTTTTTAAAAAATAGCAATACTACCATTATTTTAACAAACTTCGGACTATTTATATAATTAATATACTATTTTTTATCATTGTGATAAATTAAGAAGATATTTAGTTTGAACCAAAATATATTACTAAGTCGTATGTGTACTTACTACTAGGTTATATTTTATTACATGAAATTTAAAGTTTAATTAATATTCTTCTAAAAATAAAGAATAAAGTTCACTTAATATAAAATGAATACATTTATTACATACTATATTTGTTTTGTAAAATTTGACGGTTTTTGACTTTTAACTAAAATTATATTATTATAATTAAATTACTTCAATCCTATAAAAAAATAAGATTAATTAACTAAATTATCCTTTAATCAATTTAATGGACATGTTTAGACAAGGGTTAAGTTAGAAAACATGATAATACTATTTTAATTTTTTATTCTATTTAAATAACATTTTTAAAATTTGAAGTTGCATTAATTATTTTATTTCAATTTTATCCTTATTTAGATATCTGTAATAAACTTTATTCAATTAAATTGACATTAATTATAAGATAATTTAGTCGATTATCCTTATTTTTTTAATTGAGATTATTTCATTTTTTTTAATTCTTCTAAAAAATAAAAAATTGTTAAATTTAATGGACAGAAAGGAGTGATATAATCCTTTGTTATCCAAATAAATAAATAAAATGAGTCCGACTATAAAAATGAAATTCTTATAAAGATTCCACTAATTGAATAATTTCAGAAATCATTTATTGTTTTCAATTAAGCCTTAATTGGAGTTATGAAATCAACATTTGATACTTTCTTGAATTAGGAAAAAAAAAGGCATGGTCTGAAGTTACTATAAATATATTTATGCAATTATGACTGAAATTATACTATTAGGATTTATTGTCACAATTAAAAAAAAAAATCATGATCTTTTGCCAAATGCCTTTCTATTAAGTATTAAGTATTAATTAATCAAACATGTTATTCAAAAAAAAAAAAAAAAAAAAAATATTTTAAATTTGAGATAATTTCATTTTTTTTAAATCTCTACAAAATAAAAAAATTGTTAAATTAATGCGACGAGAAAAGGAAGTGTATATAATACCTTTGTTATGATCCAAAATTAAATAAATTAAAATGATCGAAGACTGATAAATATCGAAAATTCCTTATAAAAAATATCCAGCTATTGGAATAATTTCAAACATCATGTTATGTGTTTCAAATTAAGCCTTTAATTGATTTGAAATCAATCAGTTTTATATCTTTCTTGAATTAGGAAAAAAAAAGGCAGTCTGAAGTTACTATAATAAAATATTTAATGGCAATTTATGACTGAAATTAATACTATTGAGGAATTTATTGTCACAAATTATAAAAAATAATAATCATGACTTGTTGCACAAATGCCTTTCCTATTAAGTCATTAAGTATTAATTTAATCATAACATTATTCAAAATAAAAAAAAAAAAAAAAAAACCATACGGTTAAAGATATCTTCTTCTCTTCTCTTCTCTTCTCTTCCTCCTCATTACACTTTCATATTTTCATTACAAAAAAAAAAAAAAAAAAAAAAAAACATGTAGGAACCTTCTTTCTCTTCTCTTCTCTTCTCCTTCCTCCCTTCATTAATCTTTCATATTTTCATTACAACCAAATTAATCAAACAAAAAACAATACCCACGACGGGACATGTCTTAGAAGCCGGCAAAAGATTGCCAAGTCGTTGACATGTTCTCTTTCCCTGTTTGTTTATGCAAACCTCAAAAAGCCATTGACTTGGAAGTAACCATGCTCCTTTACCTCTAAACTCACCTCAAGTTCAATAACTTCAAATTCCATTAAGTTTCTAAGCTCAATTTGGATGCTTTCTTCGCCAATCTTTCCATTTACCATTTCTCTTAACTCCCAAAATGAGTTTTTTCAATTTCCTTGATAACTTTTGAGTTGCATTTGGCTTTTTTATGCTGATTAAAGTAAAAATATAAGCTTTCCAGTTCTTCAATGGCTGAAATTAGCCTAAAGAAGCTTAATATCTACAATTCTTGGACAATGCTGTTGCGGATTATTTTTGTTTTCAGTTTCTTGCATCTTGTCCAGTGTCAAGATGTGGGTGACTATAATGAAATTAACAACCCTGCCGTTCGTCCTTTAATCACCCAACTTGTCTACAGCAGAATATCAAATCTGACAGCAGTTCTTAGTAGCGAGATCAGTACCCGGTCCAGTTTCTGCGTGAAGGACCCGTGAGTTGCCTTTTTCTAGCTTCTGTTTCAATTTGGTTTATCGGAAAATTAAGGAAACAAGAAAGAAAGAAAGTTAATCTTTCATTTTATGTTTGATGTTGTTCTAGAATATGGGCTATTAATGAATTTAGGTGCTTCTTGCTATGTTGAATTGGTACTTGGTGCTAATGAAATGTTGAGAATTGATTTTTTTTGTTATGCTGTTTTAGGTATTTAACGTTTGTGTCAGAACCAATTTGTTTTAATATTTTTCCTATTCCATCCCTTTTGTTTTAGAAGATTTGTGATTTCTGTACTGAATGCAGTATAGAGATAACTTACAAGCTCATTTTGTTTCAGGAAGGCTGATTGGAATCAAGCATTCAATTTTTCTTCCAATTTGGACTTTTTGGCTACTTGTATTCAAAAAACTAAAGGTACAAAAATACTTCGTTAAAAACCAAACAAATAGCATTCTGTTTGATTGCTGAGAAAATAGAAGAAAAAAAAAAAAGAAAATGCAAAATACTTTGAAATGTAATTTTTGCTGCTCTCATTCAGTTGGCAGTAGTTGAAGCAGACTAATGATTAGTTTAGCATAGGTTTTCACTTCCAGGAAACAAATAATTTGAAAATAGGTTATGGACTTTGCTATTTTTTTCGTTGGCTTTGTTTGTGGACTAAAAATTGGAGAATTCTCACTCATTTTGCATTGGCAATGTGAATGAATAGCTATAAAAATTTAAGGATGGGAATACTTTAGAAAAAATAATTTTTTTTGGACCTTCCGGAAGCTGGGTTTTGTTGAAGTTAGTTTGCTACATATTTCACATGTTTTCTTTTCTGATGAAAACCTGGTACTAATGTGCACTTTTTAGTTCATTAACTAAGGGCCAAATACATAAAAACCGCTGAACTTTTCACCAAAAAAACTTGTGGCACCTAAAACTTGGCGGAAGACCTGTCATTGCCCCTAAAGTTAAAGGTTTGGTAAAGTTGCATAGTTCTCAGACTAGCAACAACAACTTTTAAGGTTTTTGGCTTTTATATACAAAATATTGATTTGATATGTAGTTAATACAACTTTTGGAACAATGACTTTTACATTTTCCAACTATCTGATAAGTGTTTATTAATTTAATTTTATAAGTGTTCTATGGGTCAAGTTGAAGTGTGTAATAGGTGTTCTAACCTGAATTAAATTATTCTCTTTATCCTGTTTTTCTCATATTGACATATCCTTTGGTTTTGTCATTTGTTCTCTTTGATTTAATATGATAAATAGGAGATATCACACGGCGGATATGTACAGCAGCAGAAGTGAAATTCTACTTTAATACTTTCTTTGAGTCATCAACATACGACAATTATTTGAGACCAAACAAGAATTGTAATTTAACCTCATGGGTTTCTGGTTGTGAGCCGGGATGGGCTTGCAGTATTGCTCAAGATCAGCAAGTTGACCTTGAAAATTCACAGCAAATTCCTGCAAGAACTCGCAACTGTCAGACTTGTTGTGAGGGTTTCTTCTGTCCTCATGGTCTCACATGCATGATACGTAAGCATTCAGGAATACTGTAAATGTTCTCTTGAAAGTAGCTATCATATGTGCATTGAGAATCCTTAAACGCTAATTATTCTATTTTTGAATTGACGTAGCTGGTCATTCTAAGGTTAGGTGTTAAAATGTATGTATTTGCGTGTGCCCATGTCCATGATGTGTGTATGTCTTCCCCGGATACCAGAAACTTGAATTATGAGTAGTCTGTTATAATTTTATATTACTAGATCATCATTTACACGAAGAACATTAGTAGAAATGTCGAGTCATTTAATTCCTTACTTTCAACTCTACCATTAGTTTGCTATTTACTGCTTTGTATCTCCCAAATTAAGTTAATTGTTGTTTTATTGATGTGTATGTATATGCATCTTTTCCAATTAATGTCTGATATTTTTATCTGTTTCCCTTGGCATCATTTTCTTGAAGCTTGCCCACTAGGTTCCTATTGTCCACTTGCAAAATTCAATAAGACAACTGATCTATGCGAACCGTAAGTCTAACTCTAGTTCTATAAACTTCGCCCTACGCATCTTATGGGCCTATAATTTGAAAAACTATGTAATGGCTTTGCAGATATCATTATCAACTACCTCCTGGACAGCCAAACCATACTTGTGGAGGGGCAAACATATGGGCTGATGTTGGTAGTGGTGGTGAGATATTCTGCTCAGCAGGATCATACTGTCCGACAACAGTCCAGAAAAATTCATGCAGTAGTGGGTACTATTTTTTCCCCAACCCCGCTTATCATTTTCCTTGCATCTTGGTACAACTTTATAACTTGTTCACAATTGGATTGTAATATTTTAAAACTTTAGTTTTTTGCATTAATGTCTGTTTTTCACTTACACTAACTTCTGTCTTCATGCAATTACAGACAGTATTGCCGGATGGGCTCTACATCTGAGACACGTAAGGATTTTGTTATTATTGTTATCATCTTCATCATTAGTAAAGTTGCATACGCTGTTGTGATGAAGTTTTGGGTTTTTAGTTCGATGAAGGTTCGGGATTCATATAATTGCTATTATTATTATTATTATTATTATTATTATTATCTTGTTTCTGTGTCCAGAATTTTGCATTTCCTCTCCTCTAATTTCCGGTTTTGACCCCTGCTGATCAACGTGCAGGTTGCTTCAAATTAACTTCGTGCAAAGCAAACTCTACAACTCAAAATATTCATGCTTATGGAATTATGCTCATTGTAAGCTGATCATGTTTGCATCTTAATTGGATATATAATAATTAATCTTTCAACCGAGGCAAATGATTTTCAGCCTATTTTGTACATGCTTCAGAGAGACCTGTTCTAAAATTTTTGTTTCGTTCATTATTCTTATAGCTCTTTATATAACATGCGTTACATCTTCTCTGTAACACCTACAAGAATTAGCTGCCTTATATACATAGATGCCATTCATTTGCTTATGCAGGCCGCATTAGCTACTGTATTAGTCATTATTTACAACTGCTCTGATCAAGTTCTTACCACTCGAGAGAGGAGACTGGCTAAATCCAGGGAAGCAGCAGCAAGGAGTGCAAAGGAAACAGTGAAAGCACGTCAAAGGTGGACGAGGGCAAAAGATGCTGCCAAGAAACATGCAAGTGGATTGCAAGCTCATATCTCACGGACATTCTCTCGTAAGAAACTTAGCAAGCATCCTGAACAACTTATGATTTTGAAAAAGGATAAGTCAGAAGTAGAAGGTGATTTATATCTACCTACGCAGTCAGATGATTTGTCTACATCTCTGTCACTATCTGCACCTTTGTCTACATCTTTGCGATTTTCTGCACCTTCAAGTACATCTCTGCCATTATCTGAACCTTTTTCTACATCTGTGCCATTATCTGCACCCTCAAAAGGAAAGAAAAAGGAATCTGTTGACCTCATGCAGATGATGCATGAAATTGAGAATGACCCTGATGGTTATGAGGGTATCAATCTTGAAATTTTAGAACCAAATGATACAAGACACATGCCAAAGGAAAAACAGATGACTTCTCATAGTCAGATTTTTAAGTATGCATATGCTCAACTTGAGAAAGAGAAAGCTATGGAACAAGAGAATAAAAATCTTACCTTCTCAGGAATAGTTAAGATGGCTACTAATACTGAAATCAAAAGAAGGCCTTTAATTGAGATTTCATTCAAAGACCTAACCCTGACTTTAAAAGCAAAAAACAAGCATCTTTTAAGATGTGTGACCGGAAAAATAAAGCCTGGGCGTGTTACAGCTGTCATGGGTCCATCAGGAGCTGGAAAGACCACCTTTCTTTCTGCTCTTGCTGGCAAACCAATTGGATGCTGGATGACTGGTTTGATTCTTATAAACGGGGAAAATGAATCCATCCACTCATATAAGAAAGTCATTGGTTTTGTTCCACAAGATGATATTGTGCATGGAAACTTAACGGTGGAAGAGAATCTTTGGTTCAGTGCTCATTGCAGGTGCATCTCCTATCTTCTTTCACATTTCAACAGCAAAATCATATATTATTATCAATTTCCTATGCATGATAAACCATATTATTTTCAAGCACTAGCGACTAGTTCTCGACCAATAAGCAATAGCCTGCATTATATGTAGGAGGGAGGAACGTAGTTGTGCAGCTGTTCAGGAGTTATGTTATGAGATTACTACTTTTGAATGACGAATTTACTATGATTATCTTGAGATGCTTAAGTAAATTAGAGCAAAGTCATTTCATTAACTTAGGAAAGTAAAGAAAGAAATAGAAAACTTGAGGTGCACTCTGACTTCATTTGCTAGAGTATGCTACTCTAGCCTAATGGCTCAGGTTCTGGTCCTACTATCTTTTGTTTCAATAACTCCATAACTAAGTTAAGCCACAATCATTGAATATAACCTAATTTTAAGGTGTTAAACTTATCACTTTCCTATGTTGGTGGCTTGTTGCCTTCATACAATACTCGACTAGAGTAATAAGTATAAATGGAAGTGTTTTATGGCTCTTTTAGAAGAGAGTGCACCTTTCATTCACTTGCTGAATCAAAAAGTAGCATTAAAATTTAGAAACATTGACAATTGCAGAATAACATCCAAGCATGAAACACTAGCCCACCCTCTGAAATTTACTCTCCATCCCTTTTGGTGATGTTGTCAACCTGCTCCATGTAAATGATGGTCCTTCTAACTAGATTTATGAATAATTGTTCTGAGAAGTAATTGCTAAATTAATGTTCTTGCATGTACTACTATTTTTCGCTTGTACTGGGCTCATCTATTTCTTTCTGCAATTTGCATGATGACCTTCAAATTGCTGCTTCTTTTTCATAATGGACTTTTGCTTATTGAAGACTATCGGCTTACATGCCAAAACCGGATAAGGTTCTGATTGTTGAAAGAGTTATTGAGTCTTTGGGCCTACAGACAGTGAGGGATTCTTTGGTTGGAACGGTAGAGAAGCGAGGAATTTCAGGAGGTCAGAGGAAGCGAGTAAATGTTGGATTAGAAATGGTAATGGAACCTTCACTTTTGATCTTAGATGAACCCACATCTGGTCTGGATAGTGCATCCTCTCAGCTTCTTCTTAAAGCACTTCGGCGTGAAGCTCTTGAAGGGGTGAATATATGCATGGTTGTTCATCAACCAAGGTAACTTTCATGGTTAAGATTGATCCACATTTCATCCAAACGTATGCATCAGGAACGCAAGCTGTTTTGAAATTTCTTTGGCAACCAAAAATGTCATGAATGAGTATGCATTTTCAGATTGTTATATCGCTATATACTTGTTTCGTGTTGCCACCACTAAATGCTTGTTTTTTCCAAACAAGTTAAAGCAACTTTCAAAGAGTTATACTTTATAAAGAAAGACTTTTCAGAACTCATTTTGTGTTCTTGGCATATTTTGGCTGTTGTTACTCCTATAATTACTTTTTCCTTAATTGCTAGAACTTCATTTTCAGCTACACCTTGTTCAAAATGTTTGATGACTTGGTACTATTGGCAAAAGGCGGCCTTGTTGTCTATCATGGTTCAGCTAAGAAAGTTGAAGAATACTTTGCAGGCCTTGGGATCCATGTTCCAGAGCGCGTTAATCCCCCTGACTACTATATTGACATTTTGGAGGGTATAGTAATGCCAAGTGCAAGCTCTTGTATGAATTATAAGGAGCTTCCTATCAGATGGATGCTTCATAATGGGTATTCCATACCCCCAGATATGCAGTGGCATGCTGCTAGACTTGCGCCACCAGCCAACATAAATACCATAAATGAATCAAATATTGGTAGTGTTCAAGTGGAGGAGCAATCTTTTGCTGGGGAATTATGGCAAGATATGAAGAGCCATGTGGAGTTGCACCGGGATAAGATACGGCATAATTTTTTGAAGTCGAGCGACCTATCAAACCGGAGAACTCCAGGTCTATTCCAGCAATACAGATACTTTCTTGGCAGGTAAGTTCTCATTAATATATGATTTTTTAAGGTGCTTGTGAGTATAATATATGTTAAATATATAGGCCATGTATTTTCAATTGCCCTTCTGTTTCAAGAAATTTTCTGTATTGGTTTATTCCAGCAATACAAATAATCCCTTGGCAGGTAAGTTCTCATTAATATATGACAGAAGGTGCTTGTGATTATAATATATATTAAATATATATGCCATGCAATTCCAATTGCTATTCTTTTTTCAAGGAAGTGTCTATATTGTAATAATTAAATTGAAGGGGTAACTAGTCATGTACAAACCCATTAATGAAGTTACAGGGATGATTACATCTAGAAGGTTTGGTCATATTCTGATTAAACTATGTGACTGCTCTGACTGGTGTCCTATGACTAGATAAATGTGAATTTTACTTAGAAGCTTCGTAATAGATATTATCATAGGAAATCATTTGAAAACACAGTAGCCCTTTAATTTCCTTACTTATTATCATAGTGCTAGGGAGCTTATATTAGTGTTTACAAAATAAATAATCAGTTGCAGGCATTTGCCCCTAGAAAAGGGGAAATGCAATTATTAAGATCTTGAGTATCCATGAAACAAAATCCGAGGTAACCGTTTCTGTTTTCTATTCTGTTGATGACTCTTGATGTTCACAATCTTGCAGGGTGAGTAAACAACGACTAAGGGAAGCTAAAATACAAGCAATAGATTATCTGATCTTATTGCTTGCTGGGGCCTGCTTAGGATCACTTGCAAAAGTCAATGATCAAACTTTTGGGGCTGCTGGTTATACATATACTATTATTGCAGTTTGTAAGTTGAAAAACCATCACTCTTGCTGTGAGTTTTCTTTTTTGTCCTCTTTTTGTTAATTGATCTGCTGCCTTGATTTGTAAGTGCAGAAATTTATCAATTGTTTAAACTCTGACTTGATTTTGTCTCCAGCTAACTCATGTTTGTTGTTTATCATTTGACCATAAACTGTTAAGTTGCATATAAAGGCATAACACAAGAAGATAATCAATAAAAATGCTTTAGAACTGGTGTATCTATCTGATTTCTATTATAAATAATTCAATGTAATATTTCTCTGTGAAGAAAATTGTTTTCTTACCACTACTTTTATCTATGCTCTTAGCACTTCTTGGCAAAATAGCAGCTTTGAGATCGTTTTCACTTGACAAGTTACAGTACTGGAGAGAGAGTGCATCTGGCATGAGCAGCTTGGCTTATTTTCTGGCCAAGGACACAATTGACCATTTTAATACAATTATAAAACCTGTGGTGTATCTCTCTATGTTCTATTCTTTCACCAACCCGAGATCTTCCTTCACTGACAATTATGTTGTCCTGCTCTGCCTTATTTACTGTGTAACTGGTATAGCCTATGCCTTGGCCATCTTTTTTGAGCCAGGTCCAGCCCAGCTGGTGAGTAATGGTAGTTCACAGTAAAAAACCTTCTATAAATTGATTGGCATTTCTGCATAGGTCACTTACTCATGCTGTCAAGCTTCATTTCTTGCAGTGGTCAGTTCTTCTTCCGGTCGTTTTGACTCTCATTGCAACAAGGCCAAAAGATAGTGAAGCCTTAAAGAACATAGCTAATTTATGCTATCCTAAATGGGCTCTGGAAGCATTTGTGATTGCAAATGCTGAGAGGTATATCAATCACCTTCTTTGTGCATATGTTAATTTCCAAATGCATGTTATGTACCCTTCGGTATTTCATAGAACTTCATACTATAGATTATACAAAAAAAAAAAAAAAAAAAAAAAAAAAAAGCCTTCAGAACATAGCTCAATTTTTATGCTTCCAGCTAAATGGGTCTGGAAGCATTTGTGATTTGCAAATGCTGAGAGCGTATATCAAATCACCTTCCTTTTGTGCATTTATGCTGGGTAATTTCTCTTTAAATGCAAAATGTTATGTACCTTCTTCGGTATTATTTCATAGACTGTCATACCTATAGATTATACAAAAAAAAAAAAAAAAAAAAAAAAAAAAAAAAAAAAAAAATTTACAATGAATAAATAAACAACAAAGTAGATTACATGAGCGCATCAACTGGAGCCTTCCGTTATTTTTTAACCTCATACCTCACCAGGATTATATTCATGGAAGGAAATTTCAAATTTAAGGTGTGTCAATGAGTCTGCTGATTCATCTGGTCTAGCAAATATTCTGGAAAATAATGCATGCCAGTAGTCAAAGGAAAAATACTGCTTGGTCTTTTTCCGAAACACCAAATTAGCTTATGATGCAATATTAGTTAGCACAATGCACATACCTGAAATGTATTGTGAATTAATTAACCATAACTGAATTATATTAGGAGCTCAAATTTGAAACAAAACCTTGATAGGCGTAATCCCGTAAACATGAGAATGGATTCTTCTAACGTCCAGAATTGCTAACAAAATTGTATTATGAAGATATAACAGTGTATAAATCTCAAAAACAGTTGATGAGGCATGTACTATTTTTTTTTTTTTTTTTTTCTCAAAGAGCAGTTGATGAGGCATGTTAACTATTGTTTTTTTTTATTTTTTTTTTTCTGCTTCATTTTCGCACTTCATGTACTGATGGAGTGTGGATGAAAATCACTCGCTGAGCACGGTGTCAAACTTCGAAAAAGTTGGTGGTAATGGATCTCAAATACTTGGGTCTTTGTAATTCCATTCTTATCCTTATTGGCGTACTAACTAGGATTTTGAGACATTCTATGGAGTATGGTTAAACATTTTAAAAAAGAGTTGAAGATTCCGCTCCCAGGGACACCATTGCTTTTTGGCATTGTTTCTGTGCTGCAATATGCAATATATATTATTATATATGGCTCATATCATTTATATTATTATAAAGTAGGCACATGATCACCTCTAATATTCTGTAAAATGACACACACACACAGGAGGCGGCATATCACCATCACACACACAAGTTTATTATTGGATTTCTCCAAGTTTTGTAGTATGTCTAGGGCAAAATTGCTGCAAACCCTCATTACAGAAATACCCATTTCTTTCTTGTTAAATGGTATGGGCCTATTCATTGTGATAAATATATATATATATATAAAGTAGGCAATGTCACCTTTAATATTCTGTAAAATGACACACACACACACACACACACACAAGTTATTATTGGATTTCTCCAAGTTTTGTAGTATAGTCTAGGGCAAAATTGCTGCAAACCTCATTACAGATAATCCATTTCTTTCTTGTAATGGTATGGGCTATTCATTGTGATAACAGTTTTGGATGACTACTTTCAAACTTTTGTAGCCATTAGTACCTCCAGGCTTTTGCCATGGAGAATAAGAAGCAAACTCAAGAAACTTGCATATGCCCATTGGCCACTGCACTGCAACTTGCATCATGAGATCAACATACACATTTATGGGATGTCAGGAATGGATATAGGATGAAAAGTTTGAGGCCTGAAAAAAAATTCACCATTGACAAATTTTATACTATTTTGTATAAATTAAAAAATTAGATGGAAAAAAAGTATAAGAGAAACAAATATTTAGATACTTAAGAGAAGGATTATATTAATACATCATTAGTCTTTTTTTTTATATAGAAAAAATCAAGTTTCCTAGTCTAAGCGTGTGTTTGGTTTTGCTTATTTATGCAGCCGATAGTTGTTTTGTATCCAACAGTTCTATAAGCTACAGTTAAGAACTATGATTAGAAGTTTTTTCGTATCAGCTCAGCTAGTAGTTAATTCGTATTTATATTATTTTTAGCTTTATTAACCTCATAAAAAAATTATTAATAAAATTATTTTTATTCCAAATTAATATTTTTTATGATATTTTATTTATAATTATTTAAATTTTTTCTTAAATATTACTTTAAAATTTTAATTAATATTTTTATTCATATAATACATTAAAATAAAAAATAATACATTCAACTTAAATAAAAAAGATACACGTACATTACACATTATAATATATAAAAATAATTATGTCTACAATAGTCATTTTATATTTTAATAGCGACTGTTGTTAAAATTTTACCAAAAGCGAAAAATAATCAACTATCAGTTGATATAAATAGCTGAACGAAACGGACCCTATCTCTCATATGAATTAAATTGTAAAACTGTTGTCAGGTTTGTTATGAAATTAGTCTCTCCAACCTGAAGGTTTAAGATGATTTTCACAAACTCCATCAGCATTTCTATCATAGTGTGAAAGTAAATCAATCCTTGCACTTTCTGACAGGGTATTGCCCAGTACTTTCAATAACATACAAAATGGATAATGATTCTATCCTTCAATGACTTAATAAAAGATGTATGCAAAATTCCCTTAGCTCAAATAACCAATTTGTACATGCTAAAACAAAACCATGTTCAAATGGTTTCCTTTTAGGGTCAAGTTCTTTGTCATAAATGGCTTCCTGCTCGATATTCATCGGCATTGAGGGCTTCACCTTCTGTATCTTTTGATTGCTACTGGCAAAAGTATCCTCATGTAAGTTGCTATGAAGTGTAATTGAACTTCTGGTTCATTAAAACATAATTATTCTTAATTTGTGTGCATAACTTGTAAGCAACTGTAACCAAAAGATCGAAATGCCCTGTACATGTCTCGTGTCATTCTGCAGAAGCTCATTTCCATATGATGTCCCCCAAAAATTGAAGTGCTGGAACACCTCTGATCTCTACATCAATTAAGGGTGCTTGTATCAATGTCAAGCTGGAGAGTTCCGGATCACTTTTTATCATATCAAGAGCACGCCCCTGATCCTGAAATGTATTTTTTAACAGAAAATGAAGCTTCTCAATTAACTGCCTGGTGAACTTACAATTTAAATATCATAAAATTTGGCTTCTGCTGCTATTGAAAGTTTACAGGCTGCAGAGGAATGATAAATCAATCGATACCTTTCTTTTCATTGCACAAAACTTGCAGTCAGAGACAGATGGAGGAAGAATTTGATTAACAATAAGCTTCTTAACAGGAACATGCTCATTTTTCAAGGAGGCCCGTAACCTAGAGGACTCATTGACTGCCATTACCTGAGAAAATAAATAAAAGGGTAAAATGGAGCTATTATACCCTAAGATAGTAATAATGCAATTAGCTACTTGACATTTTGGTATTCATGAGTAATCCAGCCACAAATAGATCTGCATTGAATTATCTGTCCCCAATTCATACGCGAAGCATTCATAAGAATACAAAGGAAAGACAAAAGTAAGCACCATTCTATTAATTGAATGAGGAACTAGGTTTTTCCAAGCCTACAAGTAAGAAAATTCACTTTTCAATCAGCAAGGCAAATAGAGAATATATATATATATATATATGAGGAACTAGGTTTTTCCAAAAGCCTACAAGTAAGAAAAATTCACTTTCAATCAGCAAGGCAAATAGAGAATATATACTATAGTACTTATATATATATATGAGTATTAGGAGAGGGAACTTTAAACCTAAAATTTGTTGTCAAGGTCATATCTGCACTTACACTACGCTTATGCTTGGTGTGACATATGGGGAGAGAATTATTCAATGAAAGAAAGAATTCACTCTTCAATGCGCAAATAGAGAATATATATATATATATATATATATATATGAGTATTAGGAGAGGGACTTTAAACCTAAATTTGTTGTCAAGTCATATCTGCACTTACCACTACGCTATGCCTTGGTGTGACATATAGAGATTATTCAAATGAAAGAAAATTCACTCTTCAATCAGCAAGGCATATAGAGAATATTCAAATGAAAATCTGGAATTTTTATTACCGTTGGAATTGTTACTATGACAAACTCTGTCGAGTCTGTATCACGAAAAAGCTCACGCACTTTTATCATCCTTTCCCTCAGTCGTTCCAACTTGTCAGCCTGTAAGATATACATATATTATTGAAAATAAAAGAGAGAAAACTAAATGGACTGAGCACGAGATCTGCTCCCAGTGACTTCAGGCTTACAGCATCTTGTCGGGTTTCTTCTTGGCCAAAAACAGATTTGATTGCAGATGTGGCAGAAGATATTTTTTGTTTAAGCTGCAATAAAATGCAAAATGATTCTAGAGTCATGTACTTGCAACCAAGTAAGAAATTGTTTCAAACTTAAGTCCATGTAAACTAATATTATACAAGAGGCAATGAAAGGAAATTAAAATTGTACTCCACAGTCTAGTCAAATGTGAAAAATATAAATCAGTACAAATAGAAGACATAATTATGGTTTCTTGTACAAGATCAAAGAGCAATAGAGGATAAGAACAAAAAGAAGGGCAATAGTTGATCACGTATTATTTTAAAAAACTAAACGTAGGATAATCAACCAACATAGCAATAATGAAAACTACATGATTAGTGTCTTGGGGAAGCACGTAAAAGAGGCCCCAAGATCAAAGAAATGTTGGTATATTCTTAACTGATATTAACAAGAACATACACAGTAAATTAAGCCACATGAACAGACTGTCGGTAAGCACCCCAAAATCAGTTAGAAAAAGATTAACTCAATAAAAATGAAATCACCATGCATTGATAGTCAAATAAACTGGTAATAATAAAAAGAAAGAAAAGAAAATATTCACAAAAAGGTTACCAACATTCTCTACCTAAATCCAATCCAACCAATACCAAATCAACATTAAATGGAAGATCCAATGCTAGGAATAATCTTCCAATATCTAGCTGCTTGATTTAACTTTTAAATTTAGTACTTCCCCAAGATATATAAATTCTAGATTCAACTATATCAACCAAATTATTTTATCCTTAACATGGTTTTAAGTGCCTACAGAAATAATTCCTTCATCATTAGCTTCATTTCTGAAACCATACTCAAAAGTTAAAGATCTGGAATTTATGGATGGAAACATTTATCTTAGAACACGCACTATCAATATTAACACAATGAAAATGACACGTATATATACTTAGCCAAGAAACTTATTGAACTTCCTAGTGGTTTTGCAGACTTTTCATGAATTGATTTAACAAAAATGAGTTATCTCAGCTGTGACATTGGTTTTCTACCTTCAATATCTTGCCTATGGATGCATCCAGGAAGTCTGGTAAGGACAAGAGTCGCAGTGTATGTCCCTGTAAGAAACAATCATGAATCTCAACTGATTCATTTTAGAAATTGTCACATAAAATATGGAACTTTTGCTCACCGTAGGTGCAGTATCAAAAACTATTCGAGTGAACATGCTATATTCTGGTGATTCTAGGAATTGCATCACCTGCCAAGTTTGCACTATAATCAGCAATGCCAAGGAACCCAGAAAAAAAAAAAAAAAAAAAAAAAAAAAAAAGGCAATCAAACCTGCCAAGTTTGCACCTTAATCAGGCAATGCCAAGGAACCCAGAAAAAAAAAAAAAAAAAAAAAAAAAAGTAAAAGAAAGACAGACCAAATGCATCTAACAAGCAAAATGACAAGCAGAAAGAAAAAAGAGCGCACTTTTGAAATTGCTTAATAGCTTCATCCAAACCAGGAGGAGGCGTGTCAGTAGCTCTCCCCATTTCAACCCCTTCTTCATTCAACATAGTATCAAACAGGTCAGAATCAGGGACCCAGAGTAAGGAAAAACTCATTATAGGATAAAAAATGTGACCCAACGTTAATTAGTGGTTTATATAATATAGGAGGAAGATAAGCCACCATCCACAGTGAAAGAGATGGAGATGATATAATAGAAAAAAAAAAAAAAAAAAAAAAAAAAAAAAGAAAAGAAGACAGACCAAATGCATCTAACAAGCAAAATGACAAAGCAGAAAGAAAAAAGACCCACTTTTGAAATTGCTATAGCTTCATCCAAACCAGGAGGAGGCGTGTCCAGTAGCTCTCCCAATTTCAACTCCCCTAGCTTCATCAACATAGGAATCAAAACAGGTAGAATCAGGGACCAGAATAAGGAAAAACTCAATTATATAAAAATGTTCCCAACGTTATTTTTATAATATGGGGAAATAACACATTCACAGTGCAAAAGATGGAGATGAAATAATAGACTACTTTTCTATCCCGTCCTGGGTTTAAAATCCCATGTTAATCCGACATAAAAAAGTGTGTACACTTATGTGATGGTAAACATGTACCCTATCATTGAGGCCTTCAAAAAAAGAGATATTTGTAAACCCATAGAACAATGACAGTAACTGAATTCTTAATAAGAGCCTTGAAGTCATTGGAGGCAAGAACAAAAAAGATAGTATCTCAAGTAGAATTGCTAATAACTACAGATAAAAATCACCTGTTCAACGAGCATTCCAAGGCCCATGCCTTCCATGAAATCTTTGACCCCAGTTCCTCCAGTTTTTTGAGATGCAGAACGAAATTCTTCCCTAGCCTTTTCAGGGTTTATCTGTTTTAAAACTACAGTTCTTGTTCAGCATATAGCCAACAGACTACCATAAACTCATTAACAATTAGTTCTTTCAAGTACATTATCAGCAATTCTAACTATAACATAAAAGGAACACCTATTACTGTTGCAAAAAAAATTTGATAAATTTACAGGAAGTATTGTTCCACACACCTCAAGTGCATACAGTGGGTAATCAGGTCCTTCAACAGGTACTAGAGCCCCGCCAGTTAAATTCTAAATGAGAAACATATATATAAGCATAATGACTGCTAGTCAGACTATTCTTTTAAGTGCAAAGCAGATCTCACAAAACAAAAAACTTTTTTCTTTTTTTTGTCTCAAACCTGTGCAAAAGAGTCACTCAAAGAATGTGCTGGATCAGTTGACACTACTAAAGTGGGGTGCCCATTGTTTGCAAATTTCACAGCAAGTGAAGCAGCACAACTTGTCTTTCCTACTCCCCCCTTTCCGCCAAGCATGTAATACTTCCTTTGCGTCCCAGAAACCATATCATCAAATCCAGCAACATCTTCTGCTGGAGCAACTACTGATCTCACTGAAATAAATAGCACATGAGATATTCATTTTTATCACAAACCAAGTGGTCCTAAGAAGTGATAACTGTTAAAAACTACAAGGGACACTCCTGTCTAAAATTACCTTCCAAACCATCAAGTATTGTGCCACAAAACAAACTTTCAATTCACATCTTATATTAAACTAGGAAAATCCAGGCATGTATCCAGTCAAGCATTTTCCATAAGAAAATCCTAACATTTCATAGCAAGTGAAGATACTAAATATATCATTCTCTATAGCTGTGTCATATGTGGTTTAGAAATAGCAAGTTCCATATTCACCTAAGGCCAGTATACAACATGTGCCAAGGCCCAAGTGCAAGTTGGAATTCAGAAATGGAAATATTTAGTCAGTTAGAAAACTGTCTTTTTTGTCCATATATTTTCTCAATAACTAAATGGACTCACTCACAACACAATGCTTTTGGCATAAAAAAAATTGTTTTACACAATTTAACAAAAAAGGTTTGCATAATCTTCCATAACACATTAACATGGTGAAAATTATAACCAAAACCTGAAAAATTATTGTTTGCATCCTTGCTTTTGAAGTGGATGGATAGATAAATAACCAAAACCTGAAAAATTATAACCTCGAGTTTTAGAAAATTTATCATCACATTGAATGGAATGGAGCTCAATTTTCCGTTTTGCCTTTCCTTCATCAATTCAAAATGAGCAAAGCACTGTAAGTCCTCTGTTCTAGTCTCCACACTTCTTTTTTCTCTTCGTAATTGCACTATATATTATTCCTAAAGCAATTATATTTCACTTTAATTCCCCTAAAACGCTACCAAACTCGTCTTTCTTTGCCAAACATAACCACCTAAACTAAACAATTACCTAATCACAAGTTCATGAATATATATATCTAATTCTAAACATCCGAATTAAGTAGCGCTACAGCAATTCATATACCAAAGACACAAAGTACAAATAAATCCATCAAAACTCCATAATTGGACCAAAAGACTACAGCCAAAATATTACAACCGACTGAAATTGCTAACCCGAAATCAGGTGAAAAACGATAAAAGCCTATACAGAATAACAATTCATAACAATTGGGTATGGAAGAAATCACCTCGAAGTGAATTCCTAAAAGGCTTTTGCCTGATAGAGATGGCGATAAAGCTTGTTTGGAGAGAGGTTGAGACGTGGGAGTTTGGCGCAAAAGAAAGCAAACCCACTGTTGCTGCTGTGGAGTTCCTTGAAGTATACAACTTACGAAGAGAAAATGAAGAATAAGTAGAAGGAAGCATACAACAGTAAGCGCTGGTTGTTGCCATTTTAATTCTTACAATCGCTGCTCCTGGTAATGAACAAAATTTAGTTCGTCTGTGTGTGTCCGTATATACCTATACTACTATTTATCTTTATAGAGAAGTAAAGAAAACTCTTTTGCTTTTGTGAGATAATTGTATATAAAAACTTGTTTGTTTCTCGTCAAGAAAATTTTTACTGTTTGTTCTATAATAAAATTTATATGTATATATTATTTAATACTTTTCATTTATCAGCAATTAATTTTTACATAATAAATACACTTTTTATTTTATTAAAAATAAAAAGAAATTAAATTTTTAATAATGTTTTTTATTTATCATTTAAATTTACTAATTATTATATTGCATTCCTATAAATTTATCCTTCCTCAGTCCACAAAAATAAATAGTTTTGTGATAGTTATTTTTTTTAAAATGTTTGCCATAGTTTTTTCTATTTATTAATATAAACCGTTTTGAAAATATTTAAGAATAATCAATATAATTTTTTTCAATTTTATTTTATTTATATTGGATATAATAATTGTCTTTATAATTTTTAAGGAGTAATTAGTTAAATAGATTAATATTTTGTTAATTTGGGAGAACTAATTCCACTATAAGTTACAGCACAGTAACTTTAAATGATTAATACAAAGCAATTTATTTTCTTTATGAATTTAAATAGTCTTGATTAAATATTATTAAGTATGATTTATGAGTCATTTGTTTGAGTTAAATTTTGAATTAACAGCTTATTAAGCTTAATGATTGAGAATTGATTATTAAATAATCCATGAGTGTTATATAATGTCATTTGCAATAATATACTCTTTTTAGGCATTTTTAAATGCTCTATAACTCTATAATTGATGATTATGTGTAAATACTTTTTCTAGATCTCCCATATAATATTTTATTAGTACCTAATAAAATAATAATCGAAAGATTAAATTTTGCAAAGAAGATAAAACCAAACCAAAAGACTGTAAAAATAGATTATTATTTTTAAATACATAATAAAACTTGTAGGCCAAGTTCATACGTTTCTTAAAACGGCTACCAGAAAGCAGTAACTTGCGAGCTTGGACAGCAACTTCCTATGGCGATAGCTAGAAACATCTTTCAAATGAGGGGGGTACTTACTGCTCTCTCACGAAATAGTAATCAGCCATGTACCGCCGCTCCTTTAAACAGAGGTAACTGTTCTCCGTGTCTCGCTCGATGTAGTTCTTGTTTTTATGTTTGTGTTTGATAAGCTTGGAGTTTTGTTCATAATCTTTTAGATTCTTTCTCTTTTGGATTTTATAGCGAAAAAGGGATATGGGTTTGTTACTGATTAAAGTAAAAATGACAAAAATCATGTGAATTGATTGATTTAGCTCATTCAGAAATTGTTAGGGTTTAGCAATTAGCACAAGAAAATTAGAGCCTGTTTGAATTGAGTAATATTCTTAATCACCACCAATTTAGTAACATTTTCAATCACCACCCTTGACCACTTTCACTAAATACTAACACAGAGATGCTGATGGTCTTATTGCTTTAGAGTAAGATGAGAATTTAATTTAATAAGTTTCTGCGAACAATTCAAAATTTCTAACTTTAGATTACCATCAATGTGCTATTTTTTGACATTCTAAATACTAGGATTTGATGATTGAATTTGGAAAAAAATCTTAGATTATTAATGCACAATCGAGATGTTTTTTTTTTTAAACACTGTTAAGGGATGAAACTAATATTAGAGTGTCAAGCTTGTTTATCTTTAAGTTTCTTGGAGCATTTTTACCAGCTTATGTTATCCATCTACTTGGGAAATGTGAATTATAAGATTTAGAAAGGAAATGTCTTTGCCTATGTTGATGGCAAGTTTATAGTGCATTAATTGACCTAAGCCTAATTCAGATTTAGGGTTTGAGCCTTTAGCTTATCATATTGAAATGCTTGATCAGTTAGGTTTCCTTTAGCTTGGCTCTGTTTTTCATTTATCAGCTGAATTCAACTTCAATTTCAATCTAGTCAGTGTTGTCTGTGCTTAAGTAATAAGTAAACTATCATTTAGTTTCTGTCGATTATTTGTTTAAATTTCTTCTTTGTTTACTCATTTCGTTCATGGGGGTGTATTGAAGGTTTGTCACAGTAGGATTGAATTGACAGTTTTGTCAAACAAGCTTTTATTCAATAGGCATTGCCATTGCTGATATTTGTGAAGGGCTTCATGAAGTTCGGAGTCTTTAGGTTTCGGTGAAAAAAATATTAATGTTTAACTTTGGTGTAGTTGGAAGTGATGGATTTTATAATTCTAAGTTACTATACAGATGGAATGCTGTTATATTGATTTTTAGGCATATACTGATTGTTGGGTTGAATTCCGTACTCATTACTTTCTTCAATGTTTGGAAGAAGCCGTCTATGAAAACTGCAGCAGATAATAGTATGACAACTTTGAGACTTTACTTTAGGATTGAGTGATATTTTTAATCACCACCAATTTAGTAATATTTTCAATCACCACCGTTAACCACTTTCACTAAATACTAACACAGAGATGCTGATGGTCTTATTGCTTTAGAGTAAGATGAGAATTTAATTTAATAACATGCTAAAGTCTAAAGCCCTTTATTCAATCAATGTACTAGTCTTACATGGGATAATGGGACTGCAGGGATTGATAGTTGTTGGTTCTGAAAGATATTTATGATATTTAGGACACCAATTTAGCAGAAAACAATTTTTGATTTACTGTGTCAAATACTCTCTCTGTGTCTGTGTGTGTTTCTCTGTGCATGAGTCATGAGTGGAATAGATTGCTCCTGAACTTTGGTGCACATTTGTTTCACCCTGGAAATGGATGCCTAAATTAGAAGAATACTATTTGAAGTTTACGTCTTAGACTACTAAATAGAATTTTTCGGTTATATTAAGAGGTAGAGTGAAAAATAGATATCATTTCAATGTATATTCAACTTGTTTAAGTACAAAAATATATATATATAAAAAAAAGGGGGGCTTCCTTGTGAACCTAATAAAAATTGGAATACTATTTCAAGAATTTCTTTCTGTTGTTCCCAATTTAGAGCAAACCAAATGTGATTTATGGTAGCAGCAACTCTTCTTGTGATATTTCTGCATTTCATTGAAATATGATGCCTATTATCTTGTGCCTTAAGACATTTCATTTTGTGCATAAAATCCTTGCTGGCTGAATCATATCATACTTCTGCAAGTTCAGTCTTCACTAGGGATGAATTTTATAGAAGGTGGTTTCAGACACGAATAAATCCAGCGAGTCAACCACAAGACGACAATGCAGAAAATAATGAAACCAATTCTTTGAAGCCCAACAACGACCCTGTAAACATTCTTTCACAAATAAACAGCAATGAGAATTCCACTGTGAAGCACTCTGCTATATCCAACTTGAAAACATCACCAAGGCATGATCTTGCAATGATCTTCACCTGCAAGGTCTGTGAGACAAGGTCCATAAAGACAGCTTGTCGCGATTCATATGAGAAAGGTGTAGTGGTTGCACGTTGTGGTGGCTGTAATAACCTACATCTGATCGCAGATCACCTCGGGTGGTTTGGAGAACCGGGAAGCATCGAGGATTTCCTAGCTGCTCGTGGGGAGGAAGTTAAAAAAGGTTCTATTGATACGCTGAATTTAACTCTGGAAGATTTAGCTGGAAGCAACATCTCAAGCAAGTAAAACTTCGGCTACCATGTAATGTAACCCTATAGAAGAGAATCAATTTTGTGAACTTTACACTAACGAAATAACATGATTTATGACCTGATTATTTTGTTAATCTGCTTTTCGAATTCAAAATTACATATTTCTTGTACCTTTGAAATGAATGATCTGCTTATGATTTACTGACTTCTGATTTAGAAATCAAATCAGCAGGTTTCAGGCAATGCTGTTGTGGGCAATGGTCAAAAACATTTCAACATAATTGTATGTTAATATTTTTTTACATGATAAAATTTACAACAAACACAAATTTAAGTAAGAGAAATGCAATTTAATTGAAACTAAGATTAAGTTTATGTAATTTTTGTAAACTAGTTAAGCTTGTGAACCACTGCAAGCAACCTTTGAAAACAACCCAAGCCTGAACAATAAATTTGAAGTTGATTCAGGTTCAACTCAAAGCTCCAAATAAATATAAACAAACTAAGATTTGAGTCGTATGATATTTTGCTTTCAGCCTTTTAATTTCTTTTCTATGTTGTATTTCCTTCAAAATGCAAATAAAAATCTCTCTTTAGTCTTTTATAATTCAAAAGAAAAAAAAAAATCGCTATACAATTTCTTAAACATACAACTTGAATATATACGAAATAAATAAATAAATAAATATAGAGAGAGAGAGAGAGGTGTAAATCAGCTATCTAGCGTATGAATCAACTAAACCAAAAACTTAGTCGATCAAAAACCTCTAAAGGCTTTACATGATGTGCTCTGTCTGTGTCTTGTGCTTGTATTCTTATTGAAAAAACAAAAATGGAAGAAAAAGCTATAGACTCTTGCAAAATTCAACGGGGGGCCATAGAAACAGAGAAATCAATAGGCATACCAATTCTCTCTGCCCAATTCTTTGATTCCAAATACAATTTTGAAATTCTAACGGCGACTTGTTCCATATCCGGCCTTTTTTCCGGGTCCTCCTCCGCACACTCCAACCCAATCAAGACCATCTTCTCCGCCACCTCCACCGGATAAGAATCCTTCAATCTTCTATCCACCCAACTCCTAATACGATTGCCTCCGCCTTCACCGCTACCCACCACCTCTCTTGCCCTCTCAATAACACTAACTCTCCTAAACCCTCCACTCCCTTCATCAAACACATACCTCAACGCCTCTTCCCCTGACACTAGCTCCAAAACCACCACTCCAAAAGCATACACATCACTTTTCTGCGTCACAACTCCACTTTCTTGAAATTCCGGCGACATATACCCTCTTGTCCCTTCAATTTTCTTTCCTTTACTGTCACTCCGGTCAAGACTTCTTGACCTTCTTTCACTTCCATCAATTTCTCCACAAAGCTCCGCCGTACCAAAATGACAAATCTTTGCGTTTAATGGATCTTCAGTTATAATAATGCTCGAACACTTTATATGGTTGTGCACAAAACCCGAACCTGAACCCGAATCCGTACAATGGTGGATGTAATCGAGCCCGTGAGCAATATCTGTAGCAATTTGCATTCGGGATAACCAATTTGAAAGAATCGTGTAATTACGATTTTGTGGGTTTCTTAAACAAGTAGCTAAATTAGCCCCATGAACGTATTCATAAACAAGATATATACAATTTCCTGAAGTGGTGGCGCCAAGAAGCTTAACTAAACTACTGTGATGACTCCGGCAAATTGTGGATAACCGTTGTTGGAGCTCCGGTAACTGGATTGGGTCACGGTGACGGAATTTTCGCTGGGTAAGAATCACCTCTTTCTGGCGAATCTGACAGCGCCAAGAAGTGGAAGAAGAGGAAGAAGAAAAAGGTTTTGATAGAAAGTTGTTTGTGGCCCTACAAATTTCAATAAAGTTGTAAATGTTAGGGCTTTCTGGTAGAGAAGCTTCTTTTAAGGTTTTTAGAGACTTTTTGGATGGGATTGAAGAAGAAGAATATGGGTTTGAATAGGTGTTGAAACTTGAAGAAAAGAAATTAATGGAGGAGGATGATGGATAATTGGTAGAGGATGATTCTGATGATAATGATGATGGGTTTCTTTTAAAAGGTGATTTTGAATGGTGGGATTTTGGGGTTAGAGATTGGATTATGTTTGTGCTCTTTTTTGATCTACACATGAGGATAATTGGAACAAGAGAAATAATGTTGTAGAGGTTCTTGGTGGAGGCGGCGGCGGGAGGTGGCATAAAAACAACCAGATTGGTCAAGAAACAATAAAAAACTGAGAAAAATGGAGTGAGAAAGAATATTTTTGGAGGTTCTTAGTTTAGTTTTGTAATTTTGTCCCTGTCAAAAACTTAAAAGAAGATGAAGATGGAATCTGGAAGAGAAGAAAAGAAAGATGGAAGAGAAGATGGTGATGGTCTAATGACGTCTTTGCTTGATGAGCAAATACGTGTCACATAACGCGAGAGTCTTCCATGTACTGCTTTTGCACACATGCGGTTATTGGTTATTGGTTGGTCCAGTCAAGGTTAATTAGCAAGGTCTCTTACCCACTATCCTTCAAATGTCTCATAATTTATGTCTTGCGTAATAGATTAATTAATATAGTTAAAAGGGAAAATTATTATTTAGTCTCTGAAATTTTACATAATTATTTAAATAGTTCTTTATATTTATACATATATTTATAACGTTCTTAAGGTTTGCCATCGTCATATTAATTGGTCCTTCCGTAAAAAAAATACATTTTTTTTCGTTAATTTTGAGAGGAAAAGACGAAATTATCCTTTGGAAAAATAATTATTTCGTCCCTGAGGTTTGCCATAATTATTAAGTAGTCCTCGACGACCAGATTGGTCAAGAAACAAATAAAAAACTGAGAAAAAATGGAGTGAGAAAGAATATTTTGGAGTTCTTAGTTTACGTTTTGTAATCTTTTGGTCCCTGGTCAAAAACTTAAAACACAGATGAAGATGGAAATCCCTGGAAGAGAGAAAAGAAAGATGGAAGAGAACATGGTGATGGCGTCTTAATGACTCTCTTGCTTGATGAGTCAAATACGTGTACATAAGCGCGAGAGTCTTCCATGTACTTGCTTCTTGCACACATGCGGTTTTATTGGTTATTTGTTGGTTCCAGTCAGAGGTTAATTAGGCAGGTGGTCTGGTGACCCACTATCCTTCAAATGTCTCATAAATTTTATGTAGCACGTATTTAGAATAATTAATAATAGTTAAGGCGAAATTATAATTTAATTTTCTCTGAAATTTTACATAATTATCTTAAATAGTTCTTTCACTATCTTTATACACTCATATTTATAACGTTCTTTTAAGGAGTTTGCCAAGGTGGCGTCGAGTACATTAATTGGTACCCTTCCGTAAGCAAAAAATACATTTTTTTTCGTTTAATTTTTTGAGAGGAATTAAGACGAAATTATCCTTGGTGGAAAAAATAATTTATTATTCGTAAAATAATTATTTCGTCCCTGAGATTTGCCATAATTATTAAGTAGTCCCCAACATTTATACAAATATTTATAACGTCCCTAAGGTTTACTTCCGTCGTATTAATTGGTCCTTCCATAAAAAAATACACTTTTTCCGTTAATTTTGAGTTGAAAAGACGAAATTATCTTTTATAAGTTTTTATTGACATTATTGTCAATCCTTTTCCTCTAAAACACCTAAAACTGAAATTTTCACCATCTTCCTCAACCCAACGCGGTCTTCATTGCCACCACCGTGTCTCTGTCAAGTATCATCTCCATAACCAGATCACCAACAAAACTACCTCTCGTCAAGTATACAATCTCCATAAACCAGATCAAGCCAACAAAGCTTAAAAAAGAGAAAAATAATTATTTCGTCGCTAGAGGATTTTTGCCATAAAATTATTATAAGTAGTTTCCAGCCATTTATACAAAATATTTTATAAACGTCCATGAGGTTAGCGTTTCACCCAATATTACTGTGGTCCTTCCCGTACAAAAAACACCACTTTTTGCTGTTAATTTTTAAATAAGAATAGCCAACCAAACTAACCTAAATCCTCTAATCAAGGAGAGAGAGAGATAAATGAATGAAGGGTGATGATGGCTTGATTGAGTTTGGATGTTGGGTTTTAGTTTTGGTGGTAATCTGGTTATGGAGATGATAGTGTTCATTGACACGGTGGTGGCAATAAAGACTGCGTTGGGTTGAGGAAGATGGTGAAAATGTGAGTTTCAGGTATTTTAGAGGAAAGAGATTAATAATAATGTCAATAAAAACTTATAAAGAATAATTTCGTCTTTTTCACTCACAATTAACGGGAAAAATGTATTTTTTTATGGAAGGACCAATTAATATGACAGAAGTAAACCTCAGGGACGTTATAAATATTTGTATAAATGTAGAGGACTACTTAATTTGTAATAAATTGTAGAAGGACCTACTTAATATTAAATGGCCACCTCAAGAGACGAAAATAATTATTTTTTTTCAAAGGAAGTAATTTTCGTCTTTGTCTTCTTCAAAATATACAGGAAAAAAAGTGTATTTTTTTACAGAATGACCAAGGATATATTATAGTGGAGTGAGGATGGCAAATCTCTAGGACACGTTATAAGGGAAAATATTAATGATATAGAGAATGTCGACGACTACTTAAAATAATTATGTAAAACCTCAGGTTGATGAAATAATAATTTTCCGATAAGTCAGAAAATTTAGTTAATATAATTAAATTATATATATATATTTTTGTCCTTATGCAATCTAATTTTAATATCCATTAAAATTAAATGATTCATATTAAATTATTCTTGAAATTAATTAAATTATGTCTGATTACATAGAGTTTTTTAATATTCTATTTTAATTTATATCAAGATTTAATTAATGATAATGCAGTGGTTTGACTATTATATTTGTTGATAAATAAGCATACTAAATAAAGATAAAATAATAAATTTTAAATATTATTTACTAAAAATAAAATAATAAAATTTAAATATTATCTACTTCCAAAAAAGAAAATAGCATAATAATTTTGGGGACGGATAAAAAATAAAGTAGGACAAAAATTATGATAATCTAGATTTTATTAATATAAATTTTTATAAATTTACAATTAAATATTTACTTTATATAAATTATAATTAGGATATTTTATAATTTAAATTTTTTTGTTAAAAGATTATTATTAGTAAATGATTTATTGATTTATTAATAAAAAGCATATATATGGATATATATTGACTACCATGAGTCTCCGTATACTTATGATTATATGAGATTATTTTTGTTTTGGAGTTGGATGCATGAGTACAAATAATTCAATTATCTAAATATAACTTATTGAAATAATTGGAAAAGTCTATTGAATTCAAATTGGTAAATGATCCATAAATATTTAACTTAATGATATTAATACATGATATTATAAGGTCGCTCACCATAAATTTTTTCAACCTATATTTTCAGTTTTGCCTCTGTTTGGAACCATATGTGTTATATTAGAAAAAAAAAAGGATTATTTAAGAAACTTTCAATTTATTTTTTTATTTTTTCAAATAAATTTTAAAAGTTTTTGTTAAACTCTTTTAGTATTTTTCAATACTATTATTTATTTATTTTTTATTTATGCATACTATAAATTCAAAAATTTAAAAAAATTTATAATCTACAAAGCCTGTTAGTATAAACAAAATTTTTTTTATGATTGTTCTTCGCACTTATATAAAGAGCGTACAGTTTTGAGTTTGAGTATTTTCTATCACTATTGTTTTTATTAATATAATAATTTTTTCTTTATTTTTTTAAATCTATTGACCACGTTATTACACACTTTTTAAATCTATTGACCACGTTATTACACACATATGATTTTGTAAATCAGATTAAAGTTGGATCATTTGATATAAAGTTTCGAGTTTGAATCTTCTTTGTCACTATTATTTTCACTAATATAATAATTTTTTTTTCTTTATTTTTTTAAATCTATTGACCACGTTATTACACGCGTATGATTTTTGTGAATCAGATTAAAGTTGGATCATTTGATATAAGTTGAGGTGTTCTTTGCCCCAAAAAATTAAATATGATTCTTTTTCCTAATATTACAAGTTTAAGGCCTAAATTGAAATTTATTCCGGATAAAAAAGGTTATGGATGAGCTGTGACATGTGGTTATATATTGAGCCAATACTATCATTTCCTTTTTCCCGATTGGTTATGGACACATGGAAGATTCTTTTGATTGGAGCATAAAAATGATCCTTACTGAGATATATTGAATGGTCTAATAATAATAAGAACAATAATAATTCTTTTCAAAGAGAAAATAATTGTTATTCAATATATTATTATTATTATTATTATTATGAAAAGTTATGATGATGGGTTATAAAATCAACCACCCATGTGGGAGATTTGACTTAACCTTAATCTTTACAGTTCATGGAGGCCTAAAGCTGCGTTAAGTCCTTTGTTTTGTAAAATCTTACCTCACACTTACAATTAAAAAATAAAAAATTTGAGCATTCTATTAATTAGATTATACATAACGAAGAGAGGGGAGAGTGGTATACTTCAACTTTTTAAAAAAAAAAAATTAAATTTAAATGGAAATGAATTTATATTCTCACTCTAAAGTAGGGGATTAAAAAAATTTTAAAAAATTAGAGAGATCAATTTATAAAAACATTCAAAGTTTTATAAAGAAAATGAATTTTGGATTTAAGGGGCCATCCATTCCCATAGTTTTATGTGATTACAATAATTTTATTTGCATGATTGATAAAACATATGCGTTAAGAATTTAATCAATAAAAATTATTTTACTTTTTTTTTGTCTTTTAACTCATTAAGATATTAATAACAGTCTTTCATTTAATGAATAAATATAAAAGTTATTATGAAAAAAGTAATTGTTTAAATATATAAATTTAGAAACCTTGCAAACATTTTGAAACATTCGAAAAAGAAAATAACAAGCAAATAAAATGGGACTGAGGGAGTAATAAATATGATGATTGATTTTTTCAAAATCTCATATTGCTCATAGGGTATGTAATGTATAACATACGTGGATTAATATACTTTATCAAAATTATGTAATTATAATTGAAGGTGTATCATGCTTTTATTATTTTTTTTAAAAAAATGTGTATTATGTCTTTGTCTTATGTGTTCTTGGAAAAAAAAATTAAAACACATGCAGAGTTGGTAAAACGCATAATAGAGTCGGTTAATTAGGCAATTTTTTTTATGTAAACCACCAATATCCGGACCTAATCACTAGGTACCGTCTAATATGGCTCGGAATCTAGTTACGGTTAAGGCTCTTCGTCTCTTCCTACAAGTATATTTAGTGGAAATTGAACCCGATCAGCCTTTCTATATACGCAACCTACGTTGCCAACTGAGCTACAACCTATAGGTTAATTAGGTTTTTTATTTATATAAAACTAGTAGGTATAATTTTTTTTTCAGGCCATAGAGGATAAATATTTTAACTCTCTTAATAAATGTGTTTCCCTGTTATGGGTTGTTGCCAAAGGTGCACTGACATGATTCAATGGGTATTGAAACTGGAATAGATTACATGAACAATATTTTATTATTGATATAAAATAAAGGAATGTTGAACCATAAAGTTTTGGATTTGGTTCCCAGCAAGAAAATGAGTCTCTTAAAGGCTAAAATGATGAACTCAGTGTAAAATTAGGTGACCCATTCCTGTCACATTGAAAATTATTAGAAGGTGAGATAAAAGAATCAGTAGTCTAAATAGGAAAATATCCATCAGCTTAATGAGCTAAACTAAAGCATAATTATTAATATATTTCAATAACGACTAATTTCGAGTTTGAATATGTAAAAAGAATATATTTTTTACTTATAAAATATAAATTACAAATGAGTTAAATTAAATTTCGAGTTTGAATACATCTGAATCAGCGAAATTCAAGCTCAACTCGGTCTGTTGGTTTACGGGATAGCTGCAAGTCACAAAGTAATTAATTGCTAATCTAAAAAAAATTGGTAGGCTCTGCTTGCTGGAGGTGGATAAAAGAAACAAATATTTATGAGACTGACCTTAACTAGCTGCTACAGGAGAAATTTGGAATACTAAAATACAAAAGGATTCAAGATATCTCGAGTTTGACTCAGTTTACAGTTTTACAAACACATCCTATTATTTTTAGATGTATATTTCAATTATACATCTAATAAAGAATTAGAGATTAATTAAATTGACCAAAAGATTGGCAACCAAAACCCCATTTGTATATGTTGTGTTTGTCATTTTCAATGGAGGATCAACATTAGCAAACAAATCATGTAAAGCAGATAAATGCTAATTAATGTGCCATTTCTTGTAAATAAATGATTAAAATTTTATTTAATTATAAAATTAGATTGTACTACCTCGGTTCCATAATACTTGTCATATTTGAAATTTTACGTATTTTAAATCACTAAATTTGTTTAAGTTACAATAATTATTCAGTAAATTGGCTATATTATCCTTAATTCAATACTAATTTTCTAAAAAAAAATCATTTAATTGAAGTAATAATTATTGGTCATATTCAATGAGTAAATATGAAAAAAAATAAGATTTATTACTCATTAAAACTATAAACGTGACAAGTATTTTAAAACAAATTATTTTCTCAAATATGATAAGTATTATAGAACCAAGGTAGTGTTCCATGCATCTGATTCGGCATTTTTTACACAAAGTGTCATAAATATTTGCTCTATAAATCTTCAAATTAGCAGTCTAACATTCATCCATATCAGGAACAACAAAGTGACTGTTCATTCACGGACTCTTACAACAAAGAAACAGACAGTAATGGCCATTGGAGACAGCTCATCAGCTTCCTCTATAAAAGCTGTGCTTTAAACAATTTCAAGCAACAAAGAGCAAATCCTGAGCTTAATTAGGATCTTAAAATGGTCTCAACAATCTCACTATCAATCCTCTTACCACTAATTCTGACACTAATTCCAGGCTCTGATGCAGGCGGAATAGCAATCTATTGGGGTCAAAATGGAAACGAAGGCACCTTAGCGGAGACTTGCGCGACAGGGAACTACGATTTTGTAAACATAGCATTTCTACCCACATTTGGCAATGGCCAAACTCCTAGAATCGATTTGTCAGGCCATTGCGATCCGTACAGCAATGGCTGCACAGGTTTAAGTTCTGATATAAAATCGTGTCAAGCTAAAGGTATCAAGGTAATGCTGTCTATTGGTGGAGGAGCGGGGAGTTACTATCTTGCATCAACTCAGGATGCTAAACAAGTTGCTGCTTATCTCTGGAATAACTTTTTAGGTGGTTATTCTTCGTCTCGGCCACTCGGTCCAGCGGTTTTGGATGGAATTGATTTTGACATTGAAGGAGGAACAAATCAACATTGGGATGATCTCTCGAGATTTCTTAAAGCTTATAGCAAGAAAGGTAAGGAAGTGTACTTAACCGCAGCTCCTCAATGCCCATTTCCTGATGCTTGGGTAGGAAATGCACTTAAAACAGGTCTTTTTGACTATGTTTGGGTTCAGTTTTATAATAATCCTCCATGTCAGTATTCTTCTGGGAGTATTACTAACCTTGAAGAAGCTTGGAAGCAATGGGTTTCGAGTATTCCTGCGAATAAGATTTTCTTGGGATTACCTGCTGCTCCTGATGCAGCTGGGAGTGGGTTTATTCCTATAGAAGATCTTACTTCTCAAATTCTTCCTGCAATTAAGGGTTCTGCTAAGTATGGAGGGGTTATGCTTTGGTCTAAATATTATGATGATGAAACTGGTTACAGCAAGGCCATTAAGAGCACTGTGTAATTGCATTTTTTTTTTTTTTACAAAATTCCCTTTTACGGGAGTTCAAATATTCATATGTATTTCTACTTGTAGTAATATCTCTCTACATAAATATAATATTGTGTGTGTGTGTGTGTGTGTGTGTTATTTTGTGTTGTGTAGAGAAATTAAATATTTTCATTAAATATTATAATTACATAAAAGATATTTTCAATTGAAAAACCAAATCAAACTGTTAACTTTTCAAAATTAATGTTTTGTATCAATTCGATTTGATTCAATCGGTTTGCACAGTTTTCCACAGTTTGTAAAGAAGAGAACAAAATATCAAATAGAATTCTCTTTCTTTTGGTTTAGCCAATACAGAGCACAAACAACATCCACATTGAAAAAAAAAAAAATCTAAATTAGTTTTCTTTTCCAAGTAAGAAAACTCATGGAAAGTAAGATTAATATCATTAATCTAAATGCCGCAATTACTAATTAAAGCACTTGGAAATTAGAAACCAAACATCAAAAGCTACATGTAATTGAAAATCTAACCATCTTTCTTCTTCTTCTTCTTCTTCTTCTTCAATATTAACCCAATAATTACATCATTTTCAGCCCCTAACTGACCGTGGCGGCAAAACCCTTAAATGGCATCACGATAAGCCTCAAGATTCTCACCCGTCAACCTACAAATCCTCCACTCAGGCAAAACCTTAGCCCCCATTTCTTCATAAAACTTTATAGCATTCACATTCCAGTCAAGCACAACCCATTCTACTCTCCCATACCCCATTTTCACTGCCTGTCCTGCCACCGCCGACAGCAACATCCGCCCTAAACCTTTCCTCCTATAACACTCTCTAACAAACAGATCCTCCACATAAAACCCTGGCTTTCCTAAAAAGGTCGAGTAATTAGGGAAAAACAGAACAAATCCAGCAACCACAACATCATCGCTTCCATTTTTGAACGTTTCGGTTTCTGGATCATTAATCGGATGATCAAGTTGAATAATACGATCAATAGGCGCGAAATGAGAGGTGATTTTAGGGAGAGGGTTAGAGGAAACTTCTAGAAGGAAAATAGTGAAAGAATGAAATGGTGGAGAGGTAAAGAGAGTGGCGGAGAGAGAAGATTCAGTGGCGGAGAAGAGATGAGTCAGCCGCTCGAATACCGCCATTTGGTGGATAAGCTTGTGGATGTGAGGGACGTCGGCCGGCGTAGCAAGGCGGATCCTAGAGAAGAGTGGGTGGCCGACGGGGGTAGAATCAGAGTCTGGAAGACCGGTGGGAGCCGATGGCGCAGGAGTCGGCGGAGGAGGTGGTGCAGCTGCGGCCATTTTGTTGGAGAATTGGAAAATGGGGAGTTTTCTAGAGAAGTGGTGAGGGTTTGGATTGTGCTGGAGTGGGTGGTTTCTTCCTCTTCTTATATCTGGTTGGGTCGGTCCAAAAGGTGGAAAGGGATACTCGTGGGCATTGCAGGGGAAGGAAGGGTAAGCCTTCTTAGCCCAACAAATTTAATGGGCCATAAATGCCAGTATTCAGATTTTCTCTTTTAGTGGAGATGAAGTCGTGCACTCAAACTAATTTCATGGCCGATTTCATTTCAAACGGTTATGTTAATGATTTTTTACGTGTCGGGTTGATCTTCTCATTTACAGAAAGAGGGAAGTCTCGGGTTTAAGAACTCCTAACTACGAGAGGATTCACCAGTTGGATGAGTGAAAAAAAAAAAAAGAGATTACTTCTTATTTTGCAATATTGTCGTAATATCAGCCGAATTCATTCTTTTAACAAACTGAGGAAGAATTTGCAAATTGATAAAACCTGGGATGAATTTTCCATCTCCAAGGAAAACTGCTCTAATCCCTATAAGAAAAATTCTCGATTCTCCTTTTGAAGCTTCAACTTTTACATAAAATTATTGTTTCGATAGTTCAAAAGTAGGAACTATATTATTCTTTAACTCGTTGGACTTTCTAATGAATAAAAAAAAAAAGATTTTGATGTTTTAAAAGCAATTTCATGAGATTCTCAAATCCAACTGAAGAATTAAAGAGCCATCTCCATTAATTTATCCACTTCACATTTTATGCAAGTGCAACTAGAACTCAAAACTATGACTATGGTAATGAAATATTGGATGATGGCCTTGTCTCTGCATATTTAACGACCTACATTCCTTAGCAACACTTGACCCAAGACTTGGAGGACCGCAAACAGGAACACCCACATCAACATAACCCCAACATTTTGACACCACTGCCAAAATATCTGCAATATTACAAACAAAAAATAAACTCAAAGTCAATACATAAAATCAAGAATCTGTTCTTACATGCTCAAGATAGAAGCTTAATTTAGACATTTCAAAAACTTTTACCTTTGAAATTTGGCCTTGATCCATACTGAATGGTCATAAAATTTGCTAGCTTTTCTTGGCATCCATCCTTAAGTTCTACATTGTTATCATAACATAGTGACAAGCCATCATCTTCCTTATGAGCAGTTGAATATTTTCTTGCATGAAAATGCCATAAACCAACAATTATACCCCCAAAAATTACAACACTCATAGCCATACTTGTTAGAAATATAAGCCCAGAATACCATCCTAACGGAATGATCAAGGGTTTTATATAAAATGTATTTACCAAACTTTCTAACAGAACAAAGCCAATTGTAGTTAAGATAACATATAATCCTGACCATTTCTTGTGTCCAATAAGACTGGATATATCACATCTACTTCCAATTATTGGGGTGCCATTTTTGTAGACAAAAGCACTTGATTTTGAAGCAATTTCACCTTCTTCCTGCAAATTAAACAATTGTGGGTGAGAGAATAGCACCAGGCGTGGATAGTCCTTATGTCCTAAACTGAGGAAGTGAACTTAATACGGTAGGCATGAGCAAAGTTTGGTTTCAAATAGGAATCGAACCGGTTAAAATTGGCACTAAATCGTGGTTAACGTTTTTGGTTCCAAACCATAATTAAAACTGTGTATTTAAGGTTTGGCTCTGATTCTTTATTTTTTGAAACCGAAACCAGCGGTTTTAATATAAAACCAGCGGTTCACGTTTAAAATCGTGAAAGATAGGTTCTTAAAGAAACTTCCAATTTTTTTTTTGTTTTGTTATAATTTATCTATAAAAATTTTTATTAAATTGATTTAGTTTTTTTTAATAGTAATATTCATTATTATTTTTTTATTCAACATACAAATCTAAAAAAGAATTTTAAAAACTTGAAATGAATTATCTGATTTCAGTTTGAAATCAAAATAAAGCCGAAACTGACAATTTCAAAACTGTCTAAAAACTGTTCTTTTTTTTGTTTCACATTTTTTATAACTGCAATTACCGGTTTTAAAACCGAAACTAGCAGTTTTGAAACGTGGTCACACCTATAATATGGTAAGTAAAAACTGCTAGATCCGTTATACTACTTTACTGCTAAAAAAGAGAAAAGAAACAATTGAAATTATGCAAAAAGAAACAATTACCAATGGAGGTTCCGATTCACCGGTGACGTGAATAATAATCTCAAGATTTAGCTCATTGCATAGTGATGTTGGAGATAATGAGCCGAGGTCGATTGTAGATAGTAAAGCAATTTCATTTGATCTTTTGGTCGCCCAAATTATCAAAACATTTGTTGATACACAAGCTTTCTTTTGCTTAATATGGTGGAGAATGTCACTTAATATAGCCAAGAATGGTGAAATCCCAATACCACCAGCTACCAAAACAAGATTTTCGTACCTATAAAAACAAAGTAAAAAGAAAATCTAGTCATCTAAATTAACCTATAATGAAAAATATAAATTATGTTAGTATGATTGTATTAGAGCGTATATACTTACATCAAGTGATATGATATTGCATGGCCATAAGGTCCTTCAATGGAAGCTGTAATTTTCATTGTCCATCCTCCACAAACCTTTATGAGAAGTGAAAAATGAGATTCTCCATTTCTCGGACTTGATGAAACACTGAAAGGATGCCATTGTAGCCAAGATATTTCATTCACTTTGAGGAAAACGAAACTAAGGGTATTGTAGTGAAGATCTGTAAAGTTAATGAAGGTCATAATTAGGTCAAAAATTGGTGAAATATATACATTGAAATATATATAATTATTCAATTACTTTTAGACTTTGAAATGATGAATTTTATGGTTCCACAAGGAAGATATGTTGCTGAAATTATGTCGACTGTCTTTCTTGATTGCCAAAATCTGAGAAAACGATCGAGCATGAAAAGAAATATTCCTCCGGCAGCTATACCAAAAAAATTATCACTTGTATGTAGAGCCATGAAGATAAGAAAGATGGGATAGAGTTGATGAATATAAAAGAAGAGCTCAAAGCTCTTATTCCTCACTGGATATAGTGCTGTTATCCACATCAGGAAGCCAACCATAAGGCTTATAACTCCAGCAAGATTGGCAATATCATTATTTTCCCACTCTAATATCTGCACGATATAGAAATCCAAAAAAAGAATAATGAATTAATTATACAATTTTCATGTAACTTCTTTATTTAAAGCTTCTTTAACAAAGTTATATATATCAAAAGAGAAAAAAGAATCAATTAATAAGGTGTTGGCTAGGGTGGTAAGTGACATTAATCTCATAATGATGAGAACACTCAATTAATTTGATCCTCCACAAGCACTTTTGTTGGGGGGATAAAAAACCTTTACGCTCTACGGGGTGGATTAATAAATTAATAAAGACCTACCTTGGTGAGGAGACAGTCCTCTCTTGCCCATGCAATCACATAAAAAAGGCCATGAAAGGTGAACATCACCATTGTGAGATGTCCAAGCCATACGTGATACCTTACAGCATGCTCGAAAGGAATATTGATGAGTTGGAGAAGAAATGATCCTCTTGCAACTGGAATGAACAAAAATGCCAAGCAAAATATTCCAATTGAACCAAAGCTTAATCCCGTCAATTCTAGCACCAATGAACTGAAAATGCAAATCCAATATTATTGCCTGATTTCAGCCAAAAACGATGGATAAAAACTTGAGGGACTAAAATGCAATTTACAAAAGAAAGAAAGTTAGTTATTGACCGGTAGTTAGCCTAGAAGTTCTCTCAATTAGAGGATTGTTAAACATGCATTAGTATCTACATATGCATAGCAATAAGTGAGAAATAAAGATAAAAGCTATTGAGGAGTTGGAAGCAATGTACATTTTCTGCTGTTGTTGTGTAAATTGAGAGTCTTCTGCCACCTTGAGATTACGCACTGTATGAGCATAAACAGCCCAAATGATATAAACGATAAAGACGAGTATCCCAATAGCCTCACCACCACAGACCACTCCTAATGGCCCGCCCACCACCACAGGAAATGTCCATAACTTGTAACGTGGAATTTCCCTTCCTTTCTTCTTCCTACATAAATCACAGTCCTATTAAAAAAAAAAAAAAAACCTAAACTTCAATTTCTGTAACTCAAGAAGTTTTGTTTCATAAACTTCTTAGGAAGTTGGATAATTATAACAATCAACCAAGCTAGATTTTTACGCTTCCCAGGTTACAAATGGAATATTAATTCTTTTATTATTCTTTTTCCTCAAAAAAGAGATTTTTTCCTCAAATTAGGAATATTACAGTCAATGCACTCAATAATCTATTGTAACTTAGACAAATTGAATAATTTTTTTAAAGGATGTGAAAATCCAAATATAACAAGTATTGGAGTAACAAAAAGTATTTCACTGTAAACATAATACCATTTGAATTTCTCTTCGAAGCTAGAAATAATAAGGTATGGTGCAGAAAGAAATGTGATAACAAGAATTGGGCCGCTAAATACAAGAAACATGCCTCCTGCAATTAACAAAATCAGAATTTGTTAAGAAAACAAAAGGAAACATTTAATAAACAAAGTAAGGTTAATTAAAGGAATAAATTAGGGCTACCAACGAGCTAAAATACATGGTCGAACAATTGTGACTCATTTATAGGCTCAAATCCATTTTTGAGTTAAGATTATTTGAGTTTTTTCGAGCTAAATTTTAAATTGCACATGAGCAGCTCGACTCATTTGCTAGCTAACCTGAAATGCCAAGAAAGGATGCATCGGTTAAACTTGTCCACTTCTTGACTAATTCAGCCACAGAGTTCAATGGATACAAAAAAATAAGAGAAACCCAAAACATGAAAACCAACCACATTAGTATCTTGAGTAGCCATTTTATAAAGACTACAACAAAATATAATGTGTGATTGACTCTATCATTTCTCAAAGCAATAAGAAGAGGCACCTCTTCATCTTCATCAAACAAAAGATTCTCTCCCATGCTAATCACAAGAACCTTTTTTCCTATATATGTGATACCAACAATACGTATATATATACAGACCAAGCACATAATAGTTAACAGTACATATTTGGACTTAAGTGATTAAAGAATGAGTTATACATGTCATATGCTTATTATAATACATTATAATTAATTAGATGTTAGAAGATATTATTTAATTGTTTTTTTACAGGAAAAAAATAAGACAACCGCTGAAAAATGGGGATTGAAATTCAAAGTTTCACAGTAAACTAGGAATGATATTTTTACTTTTCGTAAGAAGAGTGATCTTTAAAGATTTGTTTTTTTAATGAAAATAAAATGGAAAACACAAGACAAAAAACGGAAAAGTAAACACAGACTGCCATTGTTAGGATCTATCTCTTTTTTTTCATCGTTCAAATAAAATTTATTGTTTAGATTAATTGTATTTTTATAGTTTTAGTTTTGAAAGAAATTCACAAACAATTTTATACGTTTAAAAATGATTGATGTCGAATAAATTTAAATTTTTTTTTTTTGAAAGAAATTTAAAATTTATGTTATTTCAGAACTTCACATTGTTTTTGTTTTAAATTGATAAATATTAAATTTATAATTCAAAATTCAATATTTAAAAATCTTAAATTTCAAATCAAATTCAACATTTGCATGTGACTTTAAACAAAATGATACCGCATTAAGCAAGGTGACAAAACAAGAAATATATGTATATATAGTAGAAAATTGTTGGGTTAGAATTAAATGACATATTCCATTAAAAAATGAATAATACAAGAGCAACAGTACAAAATAGTACAGCCTTCAAAGTTCCAATTCATTTGTTTTATTTCACTAAACAGCTTGCAAGTTGTTTCATAGTCAAAGTTAGATTTATTAAAACGACAGGCTCAAGAATGGAATCGCATTAATTTTTTTTTTCATTTTTTATTTTTTTGTCTTTTTCCTTCTACCTGTTTTTCATGAATTGAGCTAACTGAAGGCTGGTGGAGTTGCTACAAGAAAAAAAAAAAAAAAAAGGATAATTATAATCTTAGTATCTGAATTTTTTTATTTTTTTTTTCTATGAGTAGAAAACACTATCAATTAAATATATGAACTTTTTAAAATTTACATTTTTTATCTCAATCTGATTTGATTACTGAAATATGACCATGTAATGTGGAATTTATTTTTCCACGTGGCATACGATATGGTATAGAAGAGCTCCAAGTCAGCTTATTATGTGAAGTTCATATGGACATGCTATAAAATTTCTTATTTTGCCTTTAGAAACACCCAATTCCCTATTGAATATCCCCATTTCTCGATTAGGGATGATGGCAGAGAATCGAGTACCTATAAAAAAGAACCTACCTAAATCCAAACCAGAGTAGAGATTTATATATATCCGAATAGACATGGCCACGGTTTCGGAACTGCTGGTTCCGGTTTCGAAATTGAATCAAAAATTGACGGTTCCGGTTCCGGTTTGGAACCAAACAGTTTTGGCTCCGGTTCCAATTCCTTAACAGTTTTAAAACCGACGGTTCCGGTCGGTTCTCTGACCGGTTTTTCGGCGAATCGCATAATTGTAAAATAAAAAAGTGGAGAACATTTTTCTTTAAATTTTAAAATTTAAAAATTTGTGAAATAATTTCTAAAAAAAAATACACTTAAAAAATTAAAAAAAATGCTTGAATTTAATTTATTTTTTAAAAAAAGACTTGAACTTAATTTATTTTTTAAAAAAAAGTCTTCAATTAAATTTATTTTTTGTTTAGAAAAGTTGGCACTTAATTTTTTTTTTTTTAAAAAAAAGGGCTTGCCTACGTATCCTCTTGGGGTTTAGAGGAATAAAAGGCAACGTAGTTCTTACTTACCTTGTAACAATTTCACCCATTTTACCTTAATCGTTATTTCCACCACCGGTTGATATTCCCATTGAGGACTTATCGTAAAGATCAGTTCGGCCTTGCTCCAATCATCCACGCATGATTGTGCTTCTAGTGAATCGGGTGTCATACGAGATCGTGTTTCATTAAGTATGTTTCCTCTTTGACTAAAAGCTTGAAAAAAAAGCGGCTTGCCTACGTATCCGTCTTGGGGCGATTAGTAGATGGGAATAAAAGGCACACGTTTATGTTGCCTTACTTACGCTGCTGTAACAATTTCACCCATTTGTTTACGCTTAATGGCGTTATTTCGCACCCCGGTTGAGTATTCCGATTGAGGACCTTATCGTAAAAAGATCAGTTATACGGGCGTGCGCGTCTCGTTTGCTCCAATCATCCACGCGATTTGATTTGTGGCTTCTAGTGACGATCATGATTGTGCTTCTAGTGAATCGGGTGTCATACGAGATCGTGTTTCATTAAGTATGTTTCCTCTTTGACTAAAAGCTTGTTCAACCGTAATAGTGGAGACCGGAGCTGCTAAAACTTGTTTTACAATTAGTGAAGGGTTGGAAATGTATTAGCGTGACGACTCCACCAATTTAGAATTGAAAAATTATTATATGCAAAACTAACACCAAACTCGAAAGAAGTGGTAAGATAATTATCAAATTCGGAAACAGAACTGGATTCCATGGGTCTTTTTTGTTTTTTCGAAAGAAGTGGTAAGATAATTATCAAATTCGGAAACAGAACTGGATTCCATGGGTCTTTTTTGTTTTTGTAGTAATATACGTTCAGCAACACCAACACTTATCCTTTTAGTTGGGAATGATTGATTATTGAATTGAGAAGAATTAGAAGAAGTAGATGAACTAGAGTATTGAACAAATTCAATATATAATCTATAATATTTTGTGTAACTTCATGTAATACTACATTTATATTAACATTATCTTCTATATCAAGATTTAATATTTCATAATATAGAGTTAAATATTCAAATAAAACTTCAAATTTACATCTAGAATCAAATACACAAGCAACAAGGGTGGTATATTTTTAAAATAAAATAACCATTTTTTTCATTGATAAAACAGAATTTTGTAATAAAATATCATTTTCAAATTCTTGAAGTGCACTAACAATATTAAATCATATAGGCAAAAAATAAATAAGATGTGGGATGATAAACTCCACTAAATTTATATGTAGCATCAGTAAAAATTTTTAAAATATCCAAAATTTTTGACAAATATCCCAATTTTGTGAATATAAATTAATTTCTTCAATATTGTTAGTAAAAAAAATGCACAATAATTCTTTATATGAAAAAGATTCGTTTAATAATTTATATATTGACTTCCAATGAGTTGGGACATCCCTTGAAAAACATTTTGGTCTCTTTTTATTTTCCTTATAAAATTTAGCCCAACTTTTCATCACTTGGGGATGTCCCTATAAATATAAAATAGCTTTTCTAATTGGAGAAATAAAAGATTCAAGAATTTTTACACCATCTTGTACACATAAATTTAAAACATGGCATGCACATCTAATATGAAAAAATTTTCCACCAATATTTGGTTCACAAATTGATTTAGTGTTAGCAGAAGCATTATCAAATGAAATTGAAAAGATTTTTTTGGTTAATTTATATTCATTTAAAATTGAAATAATTATTCTATAAATATTATTTGCAGTGTGTTTATCATCAAAAGCATAAAATGCAATAATTCCTTTTTGAATTTTCCAATCATCATCAATCCAATGACATGTAATTCCATATAAGAATGCATTTGCCAATGATCACTCCAAATATCACAACACCACTAATTTTCATTTCAGAAAATAAAGTCTATCTCTTTTTTCTTTTTTTATAAAAGGAATAATAGTCGTTTTACAGTATTTCTTGGCACTTTTTTGCAGAAGGATTTAAAGCTTTTTGACAATATTGATTAAACTTACTTTTTTCACAAAAACTAAAAGATAAATGTTCCATAGAAATCATTTTGCTAATTTCCATAGAAATCATTTTTGCTAATTCTTCTTTTTGTTGTTTTTCAGAATATTGAAATAAAGAAATGTTAGAAGATGCGTACCCGAAAATTTGTGTTTAAGACCGATCAACTCCTATTTTTGTTGGATGTTTTGCTTCAAATGCTTCCAAAATGATCCATAACTGCCCAATTATTTGAATTTATAAGATTTTCCACAATAATTGAAAATTATATCGAACATTTTGTCGCCTTTGAATTTCTTCGTGAAATGAATGGCGAATATATCGAAACTTTGACTTGCTCTTCGAAAAACTTGTGAACCTTGCTCTTGCTCTTCCTCTTCTCTTGTTGTAAATGCTCATCATTAAATTCAGATTCTTGAGTTGGAATTTTCAAATTTTCATTTGGATATCCCTCAAGATTATATGGGTCGGGAGTGAAAGCGAAGATGTCGTTTGTAATAATAGATGAATATTGTGTTTCTCTAATCTTTCCCTTGCCCTTAGCGGAACTTGAGTTTCCTCTACTTGCCATTATAGAAAAATAATATGTAATTTAGAAAATTGAATAAAAAAAATCAGAGAAAATAATTATAAATTGGAATTTGAAGAAATTAATTCACAATAATTGGACAAATAATTGGAGGATTGGACTTTGAAGAAATTATCTTGCAAATATTTTGGACAATAATTTATGAATAAAAATTAGAGGAAATGTAGAGTAGAGAAGAATAATATAGAGTAGAGAGAGTAAAGATATTTTTTGGTGAAGAGGATTTTAAATGGAATGAGGTATTTATAATAAATTTCAAAAAAAAATTTGAAGAAATTAATTCACAATAATTTGGACAAATAATTGGAGATTGGACTTTGAAGAAATTATCTTGCAATATTTTGGACAATAATTTATGAATAAAAATTAGAGAAATTGTAGAGTAGAGAAGAATAATATAGAGTAGAGAGAGTAAAGATAATTTTTTGTGAAGAGATTTTAAATGGAATGAGGTATTTATAATAAATTCAAAAAAACATTTTTCTATATATACTCTTGAAACTAGCCGTTATGTAACCGTTTGTAATTGTTAGGAGAGGTAATTTGGGGATTTCACAAAAAAATTTGAAAAAAAAAAAGCTGCTAGAACCGTCGGTTCTAGCCGTTACAAACAGAATTCAAATATTCTTAGAACCGTTGGTTCCAACCATCGGTTCGAACCGACTGAAAAAATCGGTGATTCCAAACGGTTCTGCCGGTTCTTGGAACCGTCGTTCCAAAGATGGTGGAACCGGAACCAAACTGTAGGCCACAGGTTTTGGTTTTGGTTCAGACCGGTTCCAGTTCCCACCAGTTCCAGTTTCGGTTCTGATCGATTCCGAACCGCAAGTTCCGGTTCCAGAAATCGTAATTTGGCCACCCCTATATCCGAACTCGTTCCAAACTCAATTAAATTTAAACTTACAATACTTAACCTGTACCAAATCCTTTCTTTTCAAATTGAAACTATCTGAAAATTTAAAATAAATAAATAAAGTTGACGTATAAAACTATTAATAAGCTAATAAAATAAAATTTCAATTACTACTTTTACTCTATCTCTCTCCTCTCTTTTTTTTTTTCTCTCTCTCTCTCTGTCTCTCTCTCTCTCTTTCTCCTCCTTCTTTTTCCAACCTCCTCTTAACTTCTTCCTTTTTCCTCTCACACAGTTCCTTTACCCCTTCTTTACGTCTCTCTGGATCTCCCTTTTTCTTTTTCCAACCTCTTAATTTCTCTAACTTCTTTCTTATTCGTCTCGCATAGTTCTTTTACTCATTCTTTAGGTCTCTCTAAATCTTCCCTTTTCTTTTCGGACTAACAAGGCCACGATCTATTAATCCAACCTATTCTACGCACTCCGCCAAAAGGCATTATGATACAATGAGTGTAATACCACCAACCGAACTGAATTGAAAATGAACCGAATCATTTCGATTTTGTTTGATCAATTATTCAAGGGACGTCAAGTTAGCCGGTTTCAACGAAATTGTTATTTGGTTGAGTTAGTTTCATAAAAATTCTTTACTTAGGCTTAAAAACGAATAGACATCGCAAAAACCGGTCCAAATTAACCGAACCAACTGGTTCGATTTGAGTAAGTTCAATTACAAATAGAAATATTAGTTCAGTTCGGTCTATCATTAAAAACTTTGATTTGTAATTTTTATCCTTGGTTCGATGGATCTGAGCCGAATCATCAGTATGCATTGAATGAATGCAATTCATGCATAGGCATGAATGAACACGACATTTGAGTCTCACTCTTTTCACTATCTCCCTCACCAAAATAATAACAATAATAATAAATAAATAAATAAATTGAATGCAACTCAATTGAGTTGGTGGATATATTGCTTGTGTAAATTATCTGGATATATATATAAGTTGATTGATCATAGATTAGAAATTACTCATAAGGAAATAACTTATCATTTATCAATGGTATCATTTTTCTACTTTGGCCATCAAAGGGATTTTTTTCATTGATATTTGTTTACAGATAGGAAATTAACATCTAATTTATAGGGGGAATTTGCCGAATTTTTAACAGAACTTTAAGAATCATTAAGCTAAAACATAAAAGTTATAACATAACTTACAATTTATCTTTTCTTTTATTTCTAAACCCTAAAGGTGGAAATTGGGGTGTGTAGGAAACAAAAGTCAGTTTAGGATAAATTTATATTATTTTTGTGGTTTCATTAGAGTTCAAACACTGTTCAACTTCATAACAAGCTTACCATTTTGAGAACGGCTCCAATACCATTGCATATTTTCGTTTGTGAAGAAACAAAGATCAGTTTCAATCATCAATATCAAAAGGAAATGTGAAAAAATAAATTTAAAGAAAAAGCAATCCGTAAAATGAGCACAAAAACAGAAGCATGTAAAATTCTCTTGAACTATTAGCTGCCATGGATGATGCTTATGTTTTATTGCAACCTCATTGCCATTCAAAAGAGAACAGTATGATATGGAATGATCTAGAAAAGGGTAGCTGAAACACAAAAAGGGTTTGCATTCAAATAATTGGAGAATGCCAACCTACAAAAGGATCAGTCTAACTCTAGCCTACACCTGAGGTGAAACGCCTGGATTATACAAAGATCTTGCAGGCCTCTTTGGCCCCAAAATCCATTTCCCATTTCCATATAATACAGAACCAACCTACAATATAACAGATTTTTTCAAGCAGGTGTATTCACATAGTGTCCTGTTTTCCTCCTATGCCGGCTAAAGTCAGACACAAACCTGAAAGAAAGACCACAGCCTTCAACCTTGCACTTGTATGGCTTTTCTCCAGTATGCACACGTATATGCTCCGTTCTCGCCCATGCCCACTTGAATGACATGGAACAACCCTTCCAAGGGCACTTGAGGGGTCTATCATCTTCATGAACGCGTTGATGAATTATTGCATATTTGTGGGAACTAAATCTCTTCCTGCAACCTTCATATGGGCAACGGTTGCGCTTGTGCAGCAATAGATCTGCCTTTGTCTCAAAACTCATGGTGCAACCTTCTAGGTCACACTTATGATATCTCTTCATGGTTTCTTTATTTTTTGCACAAGGTACTGAAACATCAGAAGCTTTTCTTGCCTTCTTTGTTATCAGATTCTCCTCAATTGATTTTCTAATATCAATCCCATTTCTGCATGTTGCATCTTTTCCACTCCTCGGCCTCAATCCTTCACATGGGCTTTTAATAAACCCGTGGCAATTTAATTTATGGTCTGTTATCTGCTCTAGTTCATTCTTCCTTTTTCTGCCCTTCCCAGACGTTGATATGGGGTCTATCACAGTGGGTTTGATGATTTTCAGTTCATGCAATGAACAAACTTCTTGACCTTTGACCATATTTTCTGCAGTGCAAGATTCTTCAGTTTCAGAACATTTTTTTATTGGAACAGAATTAGATTGACTTATTTGCATAACCGGGCTATAAGAAGATTCCTCCTCTTCAGTTGTAGTCTGACATATTTTGTTCACTTCATCTATCATCACCCCATTATCTGAATCAATGTCCTTTTCCACTTCAGTGACCAAATTAACACCAACAGACAACTCTTCAGTTGCACATTTCCCTCTTGGAATTTCGTATTCTTCCAATGCAACAGGAATAGCTTTATCTTGAATTTGAGTAGCAGTATTAGAGACTAGTTCTTCCTTGGCTGGAATTTTTAACAGCACATCAGAATCTGAGGTGGAGCCAGGGCAAAAGTCTTCTTCAGCTGACATCCCTTTACCTTTAGGACATCCTTCCCCTGAAGGAAACGTAGGCTGATCTATTTCCATTTGTGTAACAGAACACGAGATGTATTCCTTTTTCCTTTCACTTGAGGTCATAATTGCCTGCTGCATCACATTCTCCAAATTCAAATCATTGCATGAGTTGACTGCAGGACAGGGCCCCCTGGAAATATCAGAACTTCCATCCACAGAGATATGATTTGGGAGACTTGTCAATCTAGCATTACTTGGAATCAATTTCTCCCCATTACTTCCAATAGTAATTTCAGCTTCATCCTGCAGTTTATCTTCAGCAGCACTGGTCAGACGAGGAAATTCAACCCTTTCTTCCAATGAGGCAGCAAGCTTATTTTCTTCACATGAAATGTATTGGCTGCCATTACTTTTGGCTGTAGTTTGGAATTCTTCCTTCAATTCATTGTCCAAATTGTGATCGCAGACCTTACTATCCTTGCAAGATATCTCTTCAACTATGTTTTCCATTTGTCCCACAAGTGAATGAGAAGCATGTAAACTTGCTGGTTTTACAAGATCAGGAAACTCATTCACCAAAACACTCCTACCCGCCAGGACTTCTTGCTGCCCTTCAGAAACCAGATTACAGTATTCGTTCCCAAGGCTGATATTTTCTCCTTGCATTACGTACCCTTCATCAGCTTTCATCACACAAGGAATAGAGCATTCTGTAGCATTATAATCCTCAATCTCATTGGTTCCTGCAGTGACCTTTTCTTCATGCTGCATATCCAAACTACCAGAGGCTGCTGATTTGCATACACTCTCATATCCATTCGATACTTCCAAAGGTTGATCCTCAACCTCCCCCACATGTCCAACAGTTATATTGGCAATCAGAGAACCTGCAACAAGTAAAGGAGCAGAATTCAGGCCCCTGTCACCTATTGCTTCAAGCACCTGGACTTCGTGTAGCACTTCAGATGTTCCACTGGGAGACAGACCAAATCCTGCAGACTCACTGCCACAAATGTCATCATTACAAGGGCTAGTCTCAGATTTTTTTCCGGTATGTTTAACAAGATCTTCACAACAAGTAACAGGAACTTCTTCGACTGCATGCTTCTTAGGGCAGCCTTGAACCCAACTTGTGGAACAATCTATTTTCACCTTGTACTTCCTTCTTGTATATTGAATGAGTTTGTCTTCTTTTTTAACAATGACACTATTTGACTTCTTTCCCAATATGTCATCTTTCTTCGCTTCACCACTGTCATGATGCTTGCAGAAATTAGACTGATTTAACTTAGTTCTTGACCTTGATCTTCTGGATTGCCATTTGACGTTTAAGAAATCAGAACTGGAACTTCCATCAGAAAATAGACCCCCCAGTGCTAATGCATGCTGAACTTTATTAGATGGAGAGTTCTTTCTAATCTTTACACAATGCCGTAAGTTGACCCCAAGTTTTGAGGTCCAGTCTTCTCCACATTCATCATGGTCTTCATCATCAATTGCAAGATATATCAAGTTCAGGTCTTCCTGGGATGCAGTTTCTAGGGGAAACTCACTATAATTAAAAGCAGTATCAATATCCTGTGCAATGGCAGCAGCATGTGCCTTAATTTTTTGAAAATCTACAAGAATTTAATTAAAAAAAAATTAGTTAACCAGTTGCAAAATGATTCACAATAAAGAAAATAACAATTGGTATACCTGTAGCTTGGTAAAACAAGTAGATGAAGCTAAGATCTCATTTTACTGAGTGTTAGCAAAGACGAAGTTAAAGCATATCTCACCTGAATGGCAAATTATAAGCATGTTAGCTCCACCTTTAGACTGCAGAAGCTCCTCAATTTGGAAACCATGCTCCAAGCAGAAAATCCGAGGTCTCAGAAATTTTCTAGAATTATTCCACCCTCTGGGCATTGGCAGATCCCCCACTGGCCTAGAAAGGTGAGACACAGGAGGGTGATCATCTGCAGAAGCAAATATAGAACACCGACTTACTTTAGAACCTGAAGAGACTGAATTGAGCAAAGGGCAAATCAGCCATAAATAAATCATTTAATTTGCTTCCTTTGAGAACCATAAATATCTTTTATTGGATTGCTTCCTATTGTTTATGAATGAGAAATATGCCTACCATTTAAACTTTAAACCATTTCTGCCACAGATATTGCACACTGTTTAGATCAGATCTAAGTCATCCAAAGCAGACCATGACATTCTCAAAAAAAAATATAGACAGCCTTCTAATTTTTACAATATTAAAAATAACTGTTTGCATGCTTAAGTTAACTAAGAAAACAACCAATTGAATCTTGTGACTAACTGCTACAAAAAATGAAAGAAAAGAGGAAAGTTTGCAATTCTCATGCTAAGTGGTAGGTACATCCACTTAATTTCTCTTAAATTTATTTGGAACAGGCTCTTTCAGGGATTTGAAACATTTTCAAATACTTGCAACAATTTTCTAGAATAAGCTGATTATATTAAACAGTAAGAAGTTCAGTGCCAGGAACTGAATTATAAAAATGTGATAGAAAAGAGGCATTTATCAATTATATTTCACCTACCATAGCATCAGGAGCATATATCAGAAATAGAATAAGAAACAGAGAAACCAGAATCAACTACATGACATAGAGAACGACTCAGAATATAAAAAGACAGAGACTAACTGAATATAACATAGAAGTTCCAGACAAGAACGTTAATTTGTTAACTTAATACCTGGAACAGAGCTCTTCATAGAGTCACCACAGGCTGCAGAGGCATGACAACTATCAGAGTTTTCAACTCTTGATCCTTCTTGGACCAAAGGATGATCGACAGGGAGGAGTTCCATTGATGCTTTCTCAGATGGTTGCACCACAGACATAAATGGAAAACCAAGGATCCCACAAGCCACACATGCCAGTGTCCCAGAATCAACTTGAAAATCACAGGATATATCAACATCATCCACATATAAATCATTGAGAGTTTCCATATACAAACTCATCTCCTTAAACAGATCATTCTCAGCAGTGTTACAATTATCTTCAGAATGAATATGGGAAACATTTTCTTCTGGTGTGGTAGCAACAGTACTTGGCAATTGAGACTCTTTACTTGCACATGGCAATAAATCAGGGTTCCATATTAACACATTATGAGTGGAACCTTTCCCGAGAAGAACAGATAAAATGCTGTTTTCTTTTAACATATCTTCTATAAAAGACTTCTTCACTGACAACTCCCTTTCTTCTTTAAGACGGTCTCTAAGACGAGAACTCCGAGCACCTGGTAGCAGTGATCTTGGCACTCTGGCATTTGAACAATCCAGTGATGAGAAATATTGAATGACATGCCCACTTTATGACTTTGTGATGAAATAATCAAGCAAACATGATGCGATAAACTTTTAGCTTTCCATAAAAACATGTGTATTCTGTGACTACTTCCAGCAAATGCAACAAATGTTATTTTCATCTGACATCTGTTCATAAACATGTAGGATCAATTTTACAATAATTGATCCATTAATAAACATTTAAAATTAGTTGCTCTAGTGCCGATCAATCCCAAAAGCCTCTCCATATCAGTAGGAATCATAAAGTAGATACAAAAGGGATGAACTTCCTAGCAAAGCTAGAAGCACAGAGGCTAAAGAATAATTCCAACTGTTCAGACCTAATTATCAATCTCCAACATCAAGTATCACGTGATAGCATGAATAAGATAAGACTGCAAAAGCATCCAACTTGATACAATAGAAGCACTAGATTCAAATTAAACTATCAATCAAATAGTAATCAAATATAAGAATGATTAAATTATGTATCATGGATCTCAAAATTCTCCTGTGACATCAACAACAGGATATGCAACAAAAAGTATCATAGTAAAACTAAGACAGTTATGCCCAATTTTCACATAAATGATATAAAATCAGATATATAAGGTGTTTATCATATTTCATAATCCAGACAAGTAAATGATATATAATCAGATATATAAGGTGCTCAACTTTCGGACGTTAAGCATCTCATCTATGCTCCATAGGCATAAAGCTAATATTTCAGGAAAATATACAGGCAATTTATGAGAATCAACAGAATCATATCATAAGCTAAGATAGAGGATGACTGCAGTAAATAATCTGCAAACCTTGAAACAAAGGACATAGTTAGGAGGTATAGCAGTTGCTGATGGGAAAGCATGGGAAGATAATTCATGGCAGCTCTGCGTACTGCAGCTTCTTTAGCTACTTTAAGCCATTGTGGAGTGCCAAAGTTAGCTGCTTCTCCACAGTTAAAACCTATGGTAATTGGAGAGAAGAAAAGGGATCATGGTGAAGAGAACAGGAATACAGGAGATCAGAAAAGTTGCACAATCTTAGATTAACTTGATGTCAAAGGAGATAGATACACCAACAACAGAATAGCAGAAGTACAATTACTTTTATACTAAATTAATGTATCTTATAGACATCATTTACAGAAGAAACAATAAGCTTTACAAAGGAATTTCACATAGTAAGTATAAATGTATAAGCTGTGATGGAAGAACCTTGTATTTGTTTAATTGCTTTTGTGATACGCATCAAAGTGATTTGCTCTTACAAATATTTGTTGCATTTCCTTTTTCAATCAAATAATGCTACTCGCATCATACCAATAGAAAAATTCTCACCAGCCACCCTCACTCTTCCTCATAACATAATATTTTAGCTAGCATTTCCTACATGGAAAATATTTGAGCTTACCCCCTTGACAGCTAGTGCATTTTTTCATTGTTTTATATTTAAGATCAGGTAAAATTTCTTGAATTGTTCTCTACTGCTGTGTTAACTCTGCTTATGTGAGCTTAGCGAAGCGTAGTCAATCCCAAGACCACGAAAAGGAATAGGTTGCGGTAGGTTGACAGAAATGTAAAATCAGTCATATATAATGAATCCTTCTACTGTACAACACAAAGTTGGGATGTACCCACTTATGCAACCGCTATATTAGCACCCGGGTGTAGTGCTAAATGAGCAAGGGGTTCCACCACATTGCCACCTGAGTGTGAGGAAGTATGAGCAAGAGTTCTCCTACCAAGGACGTGTGTGGATAAAAAAGCTAGTCCTATCATATCGATGGCTGGATGTGGTGATAGATAGAAAAGGATTCTCACATCTCACTAGATGGATGCGGATAAAAAGTTAGTCCAAGAGAGCCGTTTTCGGTTGGGAAGTTGAAACATGAGTACATTGACTGGTAAGTCGATGAAGTTAGTAGACACTTTGAAGAGGAGAATGTTGCTATTGCATGTTTGCAAGAGACTAAGTGGAAAGGGGAAAAGGCCAGAAAAATTGGTAATCCAGGGTATAAATTATGGTATCGTGGTGAAGAAAATAACAAAAACGGAGTGGAAATCATTGTAGAATTGAGACTCAAGGATAAAGTGGTGGATGTGAAGAGAATTGGAGATAGGATTATCTCCTTAAAAATATTGTTGGGGCAGGAGACAGTTAACATAATAAGTGCTTATGCTCCTCAAGTGGGATTAGACAGAGAATCTAAAGCGAAGTTGTGGGAAGATATGGATGTTTTAATACTAGGAACCCCAAGTGAACAACAATTTTATTGGAGGGATTCAAATGGACATGTAGGTAGAGATAGCAGCGGCTTTAATAGAGTACATGAGGTTATAGCTATGGCAACAAGAATGAAGAGGGAAAGCTACCTTGGATTTTGCATTGGCTTATGATTTAGTCTTAGCTAACACTTGCTTCAAAAAGAGGGAGTCATATTTGCTCACCTTTAAGAGTAGGGGTAATCAGTGCCAAATAGACTTCATACCAACTTGAAGAAAGGATAAGGCTGTGTGTAAAGATTGCGAAGTTATACCAAGAGAAGCCTTAGCAACACAACATAGAATAATGGTATTAGATGTGAAGAGCAAGAGTAATATGAAGGAGGAGAAGAGTCTAACAGGACCAAGAATTAAGTGGTGAAAACTGAAAAACATAAACTAAATAGTTCTAAGGACAAGCTATTGAAGGAGAATGTATAGAACTTAGAAACTAATACAGCGGACCTATGGAAAGAAATGGCAAGTTGCATTTAAGAAGGTGGCAAGTGAAGTGCTTGGTGTGTCTAAATGGTTAGGACCTCGACCACAAGATCTTAGTGGTGGAATGAGGAGGTACAAAAATTGTCAAAGCAAAATGAGAGTTATAGAAAGTTAACCAAACCATCTAGTGAGGAGGCCTTTGAAGAATATAAGAGAGCAAAGAGAGAAGCTAAAAAAGTAGTTAGCAAAGTTAGATATAAAACATTCGTAGACTTGTACCAAAAGCTGGGAACAAAAGAGGGGGAGAAGAATATGTACAAGCTCATAAAGCTAAGAGAGAAAGGGTAACTTGAGCCAAGTTAAGTGTATTAAAGATGATTCCCATTAGGTGTTAACAGGAGATAAAAAGATTAAAGAGAGATAGAAGTGTTATTTCAATCAGTAATTCAACAAAAGCCAGAAGGACTTTGGCGGATCTTCATGCCTCTGCGACGGACAAAAAACCTTAGCTACACCTATAGAATTAAGCATAATGAGATCAAGGAGGCTTTAAAGCATATGAAGGTTGGAAAAGCATGTGGCCAAATGATATCCCTATAGAAGCCTAGAAGAGTCATGGGGGAAGGAGTTGCTTAGTTAACCAAGTTATTCAATGTTATTCTTAGAAGTAGAAAGATGCCAAAGAAGTGGAGAAAGAGCACGTGATAGCAATATATAAGAACAAAGGAGATATCTAAAGTTGTATATACTATTGCAGTATTAAATTTTTGTGTCACATGATGAAGCTTTGGGAAAGAGTACTAGAACTAGACTTAGGGACATTACAAAGGTGTCAGAGAACCAATTCGGATTTTGTCTAGTAGATCTACAATGGAGGCTATTTTTCTTCTAAGAAGATTGATGGAAATTTATCAAGAAAAGAAGAAGGATCTATATACAATTTATTGACATAGAGAAAGCTTACGATAGAGCACCGAGAGAAGTATTTTGATGGTTATTAGAGAAAAAAAGAGTTCATACAAGTATATAAACACCATTGGAGATATATATCAAAATGCAATCACTAGTGTGAGAACAGTTGGGGATACATAGGAGTTCCCATAACAATTGGATTGCATCAAAGATTTGCTTTGAGTCCATATTTGTTTGCCCTAGTAATGAATGAGCTAACCAGTAATATAAAATAGGATGTTCCTTGGTACACTTTATTCGTAGATGCTATTGTCCTTATTGATGAAATTAGTGAGGGATTAAACCAAAGGTTGGAATATGGAGAAGAATTCTTAAGGATAAAGCTTTTAGACTAAGCAGAAGTAAGACAGAACACATGCACTCCGAGTTTTGTTCAAGGAAGAAGTAAGAAAATAAAGTTAAATTAGATGGTACAGTGGTGCCCAAATACAATCAATTCAAATATATAGGCCTTGTGTTCCAGAAGGGGGTCTTGCAGATAAAAATGTTTCCTATAGAATTCAAGTAGTATGGATGAAATGGAGGAGTGCTACAGGTGAAAGTAGTAACCACCATGCTAGGCAGGCTTATAGCAACTTGATACTCTTCTAACCTAAATAAATTCCCCAAGGTGCAACTCACCAATGCAAGTATCCTAAGAAGCACGGGGAGTCTTAAATATTGCAGTCTCAAAAGGAATAGCGCATTTAAAATTGATTGATAGACTACCAGTAGACAAAATGGGTGTGGACTCACCAACAGATTGAATCTGTTGCTGTTTAGATACATGGATGAATCATGTCTTGGAAACACATGTGACCTAGACTTTGTTTTTATTCCATATGATAAGTTAGGCCTTAATGGACATGCTTTTTCTCCTCATACCAAATTCCAGATTATGTGTTTGACATAATAAGAGCTTTGTTCCCAATTCAGGTGCCTACATGTCACAGTAATCAAGTCCTTCATAAAATCTGTAAATTTTTTAGCAAATAGTGAAGCAATTACCGTGGCTGAATCCTACATGGTAAGCCCTCGGAAAAGTCACAACAAATTCACCAGGATTCTGTATCAACCTAAAGGAAAACCAGAAAAGCATGACTAGATTTTCAAATCATCAACAAGAAAAACCAAGTTCAATTGTTAGTGCCAAATCTAATTTTACAAGTTCTAAAAATTAGAATCCTTTTATTGAATTATAAAAAGAATAAATAAATGGACAAGAAGAAAAGATATACCAAAGCCTACCTACAACAAGGAATGCTGGATGAAACTACCACCTCAGGTGACAAAAGGGTTGTCTTCTCTCCCAACAATGTCAAAGCAGCTGACACCAAACAAAGTGGAGTTATAAAAAAAGATATACAAATTAAAATTCCAACAAATTTCAGATTTTGATGAACTACTATATTAAAGAGGGGGTTAAAGAATAGTTAGACCAACTATCATAACTCACCCAGGAACTGGAAAACTTTGTACAACAGCACTAAAACAAATCAGATCATTTAACTCTTAAATCATCATGCCAACATAAGCAAAAATTAATTTAAGTACAAGAAGGTTCTCCAACAAGGGTTAGTTCTCATCAGAGAATCAATTTTTGCCTGAGTTGGGTACTTTTGCTATTCCAGTGTTAACTGGCCTGACAGTTCTAGGGTGAGCATTCGGTTAAACCGAAGTATGACAATATGGGATAATCATCAAGACAAAAGCACATAGCTCAGCCCAATAAGCCACCTGCTTTTCATTAAAGTAACATTATGCAGAAATTTGAGAAAATTATTAAAGATCTTTCAAAGATAGGGAAAACTTCTACTTCTAAATAAATAAATAAAAGAGCATCAAATAGCAGGACAGAATTGTTGAATAGCATGCATCTGAAAAGTAGCATCTATCTTAAAAGTGTAAAAATAAAATAAACAATTCTTGGCCATGGTTTCAGCATAAATAAGGCCGAGAGCAAAACACTGGAAAGTATTTCATCAAAGAGGACTTGCATGAAGAATATTTGGTGATAAGCAAGCAATATGATATTCAGACATGCCAGCTCAAAATGTGATATACCTAAGCGATCAATGCTGCCACCATAAGCCTTGTTGCGGATAACTTCCTCAAAAGCAAACACATAGTCTCCAGGTATAGCATACCACGTCTTTGGAGAGCCAGTATGAAGAAAATTCATGCTGTGAAGCTCATGATCTTCAACATGCCAAGCAAACCAACTAAACAGCATGCCAATATAAACCATAGGAGAAGTAACACCTGGGATATCATCTGGCATGAACCGTGTAATTGAGCCAGGTGAGCGTGCAATCACTTGCAGATTCCAAGGGCTGTTAGATAGCTTCCAACCTGCAGTACCTTCCATATCATTACTAACGTTTACACTTTTTCTCTTAGAAGATTTTAGTGTTTCCTCCAAATTTGAAGTTGAAGTAATACATGATTTGGATACCATCCTTGAAGATGTACTTGGCTCATTTTTAATAACAGAATCTTTAACTTCATAGTTACATGAATTATTTACATTACCCATTTCATTTTCCTTGCAACCAGAACTTTCTGTACTCCTGCGATATGACTTATAGGATGCCCTCTTCCTCCTTTGTCTATGAAAATACCGAAACTGACCCTCTGGCTCCCCAAAACCCGACCCAGGAACATCATTTGCATATTCCACATAGATAGGCTTCTCAGAAGCTGCCTTCCAAAACAATGCTTCTATAGTCAATGGATTGTTCTCCTTAATCATACCCAACGAATTCCTGGCAAACGCCTTTGACTTAGACTCAAACTGATCCAATGTGTAAATCTCCCCACTTTGCCATACTTGCTTATGAACACCCAATTGTGGATTCTCCTTAACCACCCCTTTTGTTTTCTTCATACCTTGTCCTAACTCCTGATGCCTAGTGGTAAACACAGCTCTAACTTCTCCATCATTACCACCATCCGCTGAACCTGTTTTCAATGAAGAACAACCATTTGACAAATCCACCGCATCACCCAATTCCGGGCACTTGGAAAGGGACTTATTCAAGTTACCAAAAACATATCTTTTAGAAGGTTTAGGCAAAGGTGGTATAATCTTACAAATACCAAAAGCACTAGCTTCCTTCTCAATTTTCGAAATATAAGCAATTGGGTCAGCAAATTCAGTATCTGTAGGGCGGAACTCAGGTGCCAATGGCAAATCTTTAAGCCATCTGGGTATTTCCACATTACCCATTCCAACAAAGATACATTAACAACTATTACTTCACAAAATCAATATATAACAAAAAAAATGATGCTCAATTCAACAGCATTTCCCTATGATTAAAGTTACAAAAGCAGAGCATACGTCCAAACCCTAGATTCAAAATTTTCTATCTGCCAATTTCTAAAATGGGTTTTTGCTTTTGCAGTGATTGGACCACCCTAACTTGAAAAAATTTGATAACATAGCTAGAATGCAAAGAGAAATTCCAGAACAGAAGGAGAAAAGTTGAACCTGTTAAAACTCCAAGAGACTGTTGTGAATTTTTTTTTTTCCCCTTTCTTCAAAAGCGCCAAGAAAGAGAGAGGGGGAGGGAGGAAGAGAGAATTTGGGAATTTGTCTAGGTTTTGAGTGACATTTCATTTCAGGCGCATGATAACAATAAATTGTTTGGTATGTTAACGTAAACGGGTAGAATAGAGCGCATGGGTGAAGTAACAATTTCTAGACCGTAAGATATCGGTTGGGTGATATCTGAACGCCAAACAAGGATAGTGGTGTGTAACATCGGCGCACTTTAGCGAGCAAGCGGTGATAAAATAATAAAATATTATGGAAAGGGACGTGTGGGGTGTATAGCGGCGGTTGCCTCCACTTGCCATGCAAAATATTATTTGGCGATCAATTACTTGTTCTTATACCCATTTAGGAATCCTTATTGGGCCCCCTCGTTTGTTTTTTTTATGTTTTTTATCTCCTCATAAAAAAAAAAAAATTCATATGATATAAAATTTGAATAAATGATTGGGAATTGGGGTTTTGCGTTCTATTTTTCTACATTTAATTGAAAATGTTTGGTAAAAAGCAAGCATTCAAAATTGAAATTTAAAATAGTGTTTCAAAATTTAGTTGTCAGGCATTATAAATTACAGCTTAACAAATTGAAATTTAATATTTATTTAGCTTCCCAAAACCCTAATTACCAATCACAATATTAAAATCAAACAAGGGTAAATGTGTCATTTTCATTAAAATGAATTAATTATTTCAATTTTCTAAATATAAAGATTGAGGTTGGATTCTCTACTTACTTCGTTCACAAGGTATTTGTGAGATGTTGAAGTTTCGAATTTATATTTAATTTGAGGGTTAATGCATTTTTTCACCATGAACTTTGTATTCTAATTTCACTTTATTTAAACATTTATATTAATTTCATTCTAAACTTTGATCTTTTATTGTAATAACATTCCAATTTGCAATTGAAACTTAAATAAAAAACACATTAATATGAAACCTACTCTTAACTGTGGGTTTAACTTAATCTAAGTTTACTTACTCGCACAAATTTATTAAGTTTAATTATCGTTTTAAACAAATATATTTTTTTCATTCTACAATTATAAATTATATTTGATTATATTTATATCTTATGTTCTATTTTGACAAAAAAATATCTTATAATTTCAAATAATTTACGAGTCAAATAAATTCATAGCAGCTTTAGTTTTAGATTTTTAATTATTTCAAAATTTATATTAAAATCAAACCATAATAATAATTTTATTCTAACTTTCTTTTAAACAAAACGTGCATGTGTCAAATAATTAATTTTTAATATTACTTATTATAAGTTAAAGAAATAATTTAAAAATAATAAAAATAATGACAGAGATTGTTCTAATTATTAAATCAAATTAAGTTAACTATAGCCCAAGGTCAAGAGTGAATCTATTTTTAATTTGCAATTTAAATTCTAATTATAATTTAGAATGTTATTACAACAAAATATCAAAGTTCAAAGTGAAATTGGTATAAATGTCAAAAATAATTGAAATTGCAAAAGATAAAATTCGAATCAAACAATATATTAAGCCTATTTGTCATACGATTATCATATTCTTTCTAACCATGATAGAAACCGATGTGTAAGTTCACATTATAGATTTATAATAATTCAAAAAAAAACGAAATCATCAAATCAAATTAATCTGATTCAGTTTTATTCAATTTGATTTGATATATAGTATAATTAAGTTTATTTCGATTTTAATAGCCACAATCAAAATGTTTCATTTCTATTTAATTTTTATTAAAACGAAAAAGTTGTCCAGATTACCAAAATAACTAATTCTAAAACAAATCAATCAAATGCTTATCTCTACCCAAAAATACATGGATTACATATTTGATGTTGAATTTTTTTTTCCTTATGACAAGAGATTAAAATTTTTGAATTCCTTAGGTTAATTTGTCTAGTTACTCGTTAAAATACTAAAATAACTTATCTAACTCCTCTAAATAAAACCATCCCATCTCACTTCATTAATCTCTTTTACTTAAAAAATGTTTTATCAATTTTTTATTTTAATGATGTAATGTAACACAATTTGATTGATAGAATAATGAATGAGTTTCCATTTGACAATGCGATTAGACTGACTTAGCACTGATTGAACAACTTTTGACACATTTGCAATAGCAATTTTGACAAATAATTTCAAAATCAATTCCAATTTCCAAGTGTAACCCAAGTATTTATTGGTTGACTTTGTTTTTTTAAGAAAAAAAAATGTCTTCTTTAACCAAAAAGATTTTTCTACTAATTAGTTTTCTTAAAATACATCAAATCCAAGCAGCACAAATTCTAGAAAATAAGAATTTTCTTTCAAAATAATAATACTATAAATATCAATTTTAGGCTTCCTAAAGGTATTTCTCTATTACACAAACCAAAACATTAGTAATATGCAACAAACTTGATTAGTAAATGATTATTAACTGTACCAAATTATCAAAGAAGTAAATTTAACAATTAAATATGTTCTGGTCGGTCTTTCCACTTATGTGATGAGCTAAAGTTTTTAAGTTTGAATTTTCTCAACTTTAAGAGTTCTTATCAATTCAGTAAATAAAAATGAAGAAGCTCACAATACTCTTTCCGCCTATCAAACCTCACAATGAATTAAAAAAAAAAAAAGAATTTAGATTGACAAAGTTCTAGTTATATATCTCATTCATAAATTGATGTTTCTTTGAAATCTTAATATTCAAACCCTAATATTAAAACTTAACCGCGCATGATATTTATGTATTTTAAAGACTAGGTTATTTATTGTTTGATAAAAAAAATCAATTTTGTATTATAAGTTGAAGGACCTATTACTAAAAATAATTACTTTATAATTTTTAATTAAGATCGACAAATGCATATTAGTATATAAATAACTTTTCATTATGAATTGAACTTATTCAATTTGTTAAAAAATATTTTTCTTTTAACTATTTTAATCAATAATATCCAAATAAATGACTATTTTTTAGGACAAACTAATATTATAAATCCGGATATATATATATATATATATATATAACTTGATGATGGTTAGGTTAAGAAGAAGAGTTGTTGGTATTGAACCCTAATACCTACTCCTAGAGGGTCTTGTCTTAATCATTAGGTTAAGGTTAGGTTAAGGTATTAGTTATTCTCTCTCTCTCTCTAGGTCTTTTAAATCAAGAAAAATATAAGATTGTATATTAATTAATGTAAGTTCATAAAAAGAGGTGCTAACGGCTATAAAAGACAAACATGGGGTACCTAGCAATTATTTTTTTTTCCTTTTTTTTATTCTCAAAGTCTAAACCAAAGCCGCTCAACAATTATACATGTATGACCAATAATAATTCAAACATTAGACTAGCTGGTGATTGTCTATATTTTAATTATATTATAGGTATTATATAATATGAGGTAATAAAAAATTAAAATAGTGATACCATAATTCTTAATACACTAAAAAAAATAAGAGTTGAAGTCTATGAAAACATAAATATATAGGTAAATCATACACTAAGATTCTTTATTTGGAATGAATTCTAATTATTAAATTTAAATTCACTGTCTTTTGAGTTAAACGATTAAGAAATAATATCAATCAGTTCCTGATTAAGAAGGGATATATAATATTTTTATAATTATCCGGCCAAGCTTATCTTTTTGTCTTATAAATTATATAATTTATTAAATTAACTCTAAAAAAACTTATTTATTCAGTTAAAAATTAACGTTGCAAATTCATATAAGTAATCACTCAGACAAATAAGCTTTATTTCCTTTTTATTTAAAAGATAAGTTATTTAATGTTTAATAAACTGTCATTAAGCTGAAAGAAAAGGAACCTCTGAATTATCATATGTCATATTAATATATATGAAATCATAATTTTTTACCCAAACTTTAGCATCGAGATTGAGATATTAAAAAACAAAAATACACTACTACCAGACGCACTCTTAATTAGGACAAACAAGATATTGTCCCTAATACTCCGTCGTTCGAGTATATTTATCTCTGCGGAAAATACTAGAAAATTTTTTTTCTGTCACAATCAAATTGTTAAAGACGCAATGCTCTCTTTTACTGTCAGATTAACTAAAAATTTATTATTTAATAATATCTTAATTAATATTAGTTAAAAATTTAAATTCATAAAAAGTCAAGTAAAATAATAAATTTTAGCTAATTATAAGCATAAAATATTAATTAAGGTTTTTATTTTGCCATTTTTAAGCATATAATTTTGTCTATACTCAAGTTAAATCTCTTATAAAAAATAGGTTTTTTTTTCAATACGACGTCGTTTTATTTTTAGGGAAACATTACTTGTTATTAATATTATATAAATAAATAAAAGTGTTTTATTTTTAAGATGAATAGATTATTTTTTATTTTAATATTTATATAGAAAAATATAATTATTTATTTATTTATTTATAAGGTGGTGGGAATAATTCTAATTTTAGAAAAAAATGTTAAACTGAATCCCATAAAAATAATATTTTATTTATTAAATTTGATATAATTTGAAATTAAGGTGCTATTGTCGCTAAAATTAAAGTTCAGAATATTAAGAGAAAAAAGTTAGATTTAAAGTATAATTAAAATTACCCATAAACTTTCGGGTTTTTTTATGATTTAACCATTTTATAGGTGACATTTACCTAGAAATACAGATAATTCAACCATTTATATGTATACCAAGAATTTGATATAAAGAAATAATGGGTTTTTAAAAAAATGTTCTGAAGATTATTTTTACTTAAACAAATAATATTTAAGTGAGAGATTGAATATAAAGTATAAAAAGAAAATTCTACACAGTTTAGAAATCCAATTAAACTCTTATTCTAAATAAAGACAACTATAAGTAATTGCTGATATTCAATTAAGTTTTTATGGATTATATTTGTCTAAATCGAGTTTGTGGTCCATCCATAAAATAAATCAATGAAAATAAAAAATTTTAAAAATTATTTCTATTTTATCATTTTTCTCGGCGTATGATAAAAAATACTCTTATTTAAATGAGTAATAGCTACTGTCATCGGTCATCAGTTAACTGCCGGCGGCTATTACTTAATCATAGGTGACTACTATAAATTTTTCATATTTATTTATAAATTTATAAAATATAAAATTTCTA